GACGTTGGGTCGACCTCAACTCACTCGACCACAGCGCAAGCGTGGTCTCTACTTGCCTGCCATCACATCCATACCACACCGCCTTAGATACATCCAACCGAGTCGATGGTTCATTTCCCCTACCGTCGCTGTTCCAAAGCCACGGCACTGCGCGTCAACACCTCTTCCGCGTCCATCTCAGAGCGTCGACTCTGTTCCAGACGACACTCCCATTCCGCAAACACCTCGGCCCTTCAAGTCGAGTGAATCGAGTCACCCGGACAACATCGACAAACCGAAGCCGAAGGAAGAACGCGCCGTGCCGTGGGAAAACTTCGATGATATTGTGGACTAGCTTCCCTTCCTTCATGTACACAACAGGCCGGTCGTATACCAGCGGAGACACGGTGTCCTCAAACGCAATCTAGTCGGTGTGTCAAAACTGCACATGCTCCACCTCGTTGTTGTACCGATCGCCGAAGGACCAAGCGCCATTCAGAAGAACACTCGGCATGCAAGTAGGTCGAGTCCGCATCGCAACACCAACGCCGCAGGTCCTTGTCTTCGACGTTCGACAGTGGATTTCGCCATCTCCTACGATGAAATCATGAGTGCGCCTGCCTCGGATCGATCGCATTCGCACTTGGACTTGTTAACCCATGCATTGAATCCGTGGATAGCAGAAGCTACCACAGAGCCATCCTGTAGACGGATCGACAAAGGCTTGGGCTCGATGGCAAGCATGCCCATCAAGGATAAAAATTCTGCTTGGGTCGGGGTGGGCAACCCCGGAAACATCGCTCGGCGGCCGCTCGGGTCGAGGTGGATGTCGCCATGAACATTCGACTTCTCGTCAAGGCCAATGGCTGAGATTACGAGGTGCTGCCACATGTCTTCGCGCATCGTGACGAGGAGATACCGATGGCGCACAAATCGAACACCGCGATACACGATCTTTCCAGCGGACTTGCGCACTTGGAAAATTGCAGCATTGCCACGCAGCACAATATTCTGCAAGATGGGCTCGAACACGGCGTCGCTGTACCGATTTGTCCGCACGCAAAGCAGCCAGTGCTGCAGCTTCGTCGGGGACACTCTCAAGGCATGAATTGTGTCTGCCAACGGCACTTTGCACGTCCAGAACTGTCGCGACCGTGGCTCGTACAGCTGCACAGTCAAATCCCCCCAGTTTTCATGGATCACAACGTGGCACACGCATCCGTGCACCTACAACGAAAGTTATTTCGGCCTGGCCATGCCATCCTGTACATTGGTCGCTTGGCGATATACTTCATCGCCTCGTCCGCGCTGACGGCCTCGGCACAGATCGTGCCACCAATGGCTTTGAACGAGTTTCGATTGAAGCGCTTCTCGGACGCGAAAAAAGTCGACACGCCCGATCGTGACAGCGCCCGAGAACGGATTCAACTTGATGAGGTGGATCAGCGCATGCGCGCACTCGGTCATCAAGAGCAGCTTTCGACTCGCTGCGCTGCCGTGCATCGTTTGTGTTGCCGCCGTTTTCATGTGGCTTTGAATGGCAACGGCCAACGGATCACGGAAACGTAGTTGAGTCATCATGAGCATGAGAAATCGAGCTTCCACCCATGCGTCGACCACGTGGCTCTCGCGGGGTCGGTACCTGACGACGACATCGGCGCATCATTCAGCAATCAGGAACAAAGACCATGGAGAAATGGACGTACATGGACACAAGGACGCCGGTGTCGACCGTCGCGGATTCGGCCAACGTTCGAACTTGGACGATCCAGTGCTGGGGTAATGGACACGTGTGGCGAATTGGCTCGGCACACACCTTCTTTGCACGCGCCACCACTACAAGACGAGGAGAGCTGTGACTGTTCGTCCTCTTGGGCTTGTCACGTACAAAGATTATAGTCAAAGCCGCGACGACTGACAACAGTGTGGAGCTTGGATGGCATGACATGGATGTGCTCCTGCTTGGTGTCGAGAAAGGTGAGGTTTCGTCGAATCGGCAGGGACGATGTAAACCGCAACGCCAGCAAACCACTCAGCGTTCGAAGTGCTGTGACCATCATGAGGTGGGCGGTGTTGGCCATGGCACGGAACTCATTTGCACGGAGCCGAACCCGTTTGGCAAAGGCTGCCGCGTTCTCGAACCGTACCTACACGCAACCAGTCAATGTTTAGGTCACATCATCTTGCGTCGACGACCTTAGCCTCCGCCGTGCATGCGCGGGTGCTGGCTTCGTTCATTTCTGCATGGAACCATTCCATCCGCGCGAGTTCTAGCTGCGCCTCCTTGTCGGCAACCTCTCGAGCAATCAATCGCTTAGCCACCAAGAGCTTCCAGTTGTTTGCATTCTCGAGGTCATCCCACGGCTGCTCGTCCATCAGACTCGTCTTCGCTCGCTCCGAAAACGCCATTGCGTCCTTGGTTCGGAGCACTGACTCTTGTAGCGCGCTGTCCGCTCGCTCAACCTGGGCCTTTGCCTTCTGGAATGCCGCCCACGTCCGCTTTTTCACTTGAAGGTTGTTTGTGTGGAGGGCTCGCCACGCTGTAACTTTCTGCAGTAGCGCTTCTACGACTTTTTCATGGCACTGCGCTGCCTTCTCCATGCCCAACGCGATGGAATGTGCCGTCTGACCAATGCTTCAAGCCCCTGTCACACTCTAGCCGATTGTACCTGCGCTTCAAATATCGGTTCCCAACACGTCCGCCGTCGCCCTTTCGCATACTTGGGGTCGTAATTGAGAATGCGATCCGTGGGCAGCGGCTTGAGTTCGCACGCGCGGCTCAAAAACCTAAAACGATCGCATCACCGCGACATTGTCATGACAACTAAAAACGTACCCATCCACGCGTGGGCGAAGGATCTGCCGCATGCGGTCATTCCCAAGCTTGATTCGGTACAGTTCACTCGTTGCTGGGTTGTACGCGCGCACCAGGACGCGTTCGGGGCTGTGTTCCGCCTGGCAACAGCAAATAACTTGGTCTTTCTGGAATTTGAACCCGCTCGCGTGGATCGACGCTTGATGCGGTTGACGAAGGCAATACAAGCACGGTTGGCCAGAGCTTAACGGCGACGATGCATGGAACAACGAGTGCCACGTCACAACGACATGCTCGCCGTCCAGCTTGAGTATTGTCGAATAGGCTGGCTTTTCAATCTCGGAGCATGCATTGCGCGAGGCGGTGGCTATAGCAGCGAGGACAAATTGCTTGGCCACTGAACACACAGACGTTTGGAACTACAATGCCACGGTGGGTTCGAGGGAATTGAATTCGCACGAGTTTTGGACCTGAAGGCGCAGCTGCGCCAAGACCCGCAGAGCTACCGTCCTGGCGCGGGCCCTCCACTTCCCGACAACTTGTCGCCACCACCGCTGAGCTAGCTCGACTGCGTCGTTGATGCGGTCGAACTTGGCCATGAACTTGACTAAGTTGGACGTTTCTAGTTTCACCTGATGGCCACCCGAGGCCAGCGCGTCAGCTCAATCTGTGGTCGTGATTGCACCGACCGTACCACATCGCCTCGGAGCACTTCTGCCTCGAGCAAAAGTGCCTCCATGTCGTGCCGGTCGACTTGCTCCCAACCCAATTGCATGTACGTTCGCAATTTCTGAATGAATACGCGGCGATTCGAATGAGTCTTGGCGCCGGTGTCGTACAACTGTTTGTGGAAGAGAAGGTGGCGCAAGTGTTTTCCCCGCACGCGAAAGTTGGCCCACTCGCCAGCATCCAGCCGACACCACACGTTGGGTTGCCTGAACGCTCGTGCTGGGCGAATGTGTTGAATGCGCAATGCCGCACAGCGATCCCAGTACAACGCTTGAACACGGCGAAATATCGCAACCTCGTCCATGGGTTGCGCGGATGCAATCGGAGCGGATGGCAAACTCGTGTCGTTTGATGCGGTTGCTGAGTTTGTGCGCTGGATTTCGTGCAAAAACACTTGCTGGGCGCGCTGAAGTCGAAGCATGTCCAACACTTCGAACTGCGTCCTGGTTTGCGTCGATGTGGCGGTCGTGCTACAGAACAAGGCGATGAAAATCCACCGTCAAAGTGGTAGATCGAATCCACATGATATAGTTGGGGCTTGCGATAAAGGTTTCTTGGGTGTCTGGGTTGGTCCATGCCACGCATTGATTCGCATGCACGGTGACGGTCAGGTGGGGCCCCAGGACAGCTTCGGCGGCATCCTGTTGGGTCTCTGGTACAGAGAGGGCAATGAAGCGCTCGGGGTCTTGGATTGCGGATTGAGGAACGAGGAAAGGATTGCCAAGTAGGGGAAAGCTGCTACCGACATGCGCTTTCAGCGGCGTGATGTCTTCAAGAAAGTCCAAGTCGGAGCCCAACTAGTTTCGAGTGGTCACAATTTCGTGGAGGAAAATCTCGGAGACAATGTACTTTTAAGATGTAGTTGGTGCCATGCCACAAGTAGGTGGGACTCCACGAGTCGGCAGCCGCGACGACTTTAGCTCGACACTCGATGCATCTCGATTTTTTCTTTCTTGTGTTTGACATCTTGTCGTCGCTCTCGATCGCAAAATGCACGCCACAAGACAGAAACACGTATCTGCCAACGATCACAGTTGGAGCCGCAAGGGCGTCATGGCCTACCTTTTCTTCGGCATGTGGTCCACCGTAGTGCGCATGCGCCTGGCCTCTGCCACAACCGCATTGTCGTACGCTCTCTCTGCTTCCACCTGGAACCAAATCAGGTCGAGAACGTCCTCGCTTGGTGCAGCTCGACGTCGGCATACCTTGGTCGGAAAGTACCCCAAGTACCGCACTTGGGTTTCCGCTTCGCCGTCTATATCAGCGTCGCGGCAATATCGCTTCACCTGCATGGGTGCACTCATGTCAAGTGCTGCAATCATGCCATCGTCGTACCTTAGAGTGGAATGCGTTCGACCCTTTGTACAGGAGCTTTCCCGTTGTGACTGTGATCGAGGCACTCCATCCGTACTTGACTTCGTCCGCTTCAGTCGTGTGCAAAGTCGACATGCGTCCCATGAGCTGGATGTGCTTGCGCCACTTTTCGATCGCCTCAATCACGTGCACCGTGACGAGGCGCAGCCCACTCAGCGCCATGACGAGCTTTTGAACTTGCTTGGACGTTTCGACGTGCAGGTTAGCCATGTATTTCGTCATGGCTTTCGACGCCACTGCCGTAGCCCGCTCGACCATCAATTCACGGGCTGTGATGGCTCGTAAGATATCCAATTCGAGCTAATGTAGACAGAACAGCACCGTTAGCACCCAACCCACGTCACTGAAAGGAGTTCGCACCGTCGCCTCCGTCGCAAGCTGCCATTTCTTCATCGCATCACGTTCTTGATGCGAGATAAAGTAGTGCCGCTGGGGACACATAGGTACGTGGCATTGCATCAACACCCACGCCCGACAGAGTCTGCTGACAACGTGCGGTCGCGAAGGCACCAACGGGGCAGCCTCAGTGTGCATCGGTTGAATAGTTATATGTTTCGCGTTCTCCGATGCACTTGTGTCTTGATGGACCTTACGATGGGACTCCTTGATAGCTTCCGCTCTAGTTTTCGCCTTCATTTCTTGCGTGGCAAGCCAGCTGCCTATTTGCTGCATCACACGAAAGTCGCGTTCGTTGTAAATGGCTCGGAATTTCGCAGGCAGTGGCAGCTCTGCACCCGACGCGGTGACCCCAGACACTGCCATATCTTCCACGTTTCCAAAATCGTTCGTCTCGAGGCTAAACCGCTTGCGAAACAGTTCGAGGCCCATGATAGAAGTGTACTTGGATGCGCCCTCGTACTTGCCCGACAACACATAAATACCGTTCACAGCCGCCACGCCAGCACCTGATACGATCCATGAGTCGACGGTGGCCTACAATTGCAATGATATCGACGAATCTCACTGGCGTCGTAAACGCACCCGTTTGTGTTGGACCACTGGGGCGGGTTCGACTGCGTGGTCGGAGCAGGGAAGCCACCGCATGCCGTCCTTTGGACTGTCATGCACACCGTCCGTCACTTCAAAGTACGCTCCGTAGTAAAGGATTGTGTCCGAGTTCTCCTCTGTGGTCTCGATGACGCCTCGACGGCCGATGAGCCAAACATCGCACTCGGTCGGTTCCGCCGCCATATTGGAATCTGACGTGTGCGTTTCGGGAAAAACCAGGGTTTTGAATCGCGCATAAGGATCGACGAGTTTGGTTTGTTCGAGTGTACTAGATGACATGTCATGATGAAGCAGGATTCGTCGCAAGTGCAGGAACCTGATGGTTTCATTGGCATCGTGGCGGAGGTTCTCGCTCTCTGTTCGTGTGGCTACAATGGATCGCCACAGCAGAGCTCGATCGTCAAAGCAGTAATTGAGGCCGTTGTGGATGAGCTCCATAGCTTGGTCCTTGAGCTTTTCCGCTACTGCATCCGCAGCCGCCACTAAAATTCACATGTTGCATGCATTCTAACGCGATGTATCGACGCGAACACTTACCCTTTTCATTTGCCGTGCGTTCGGCAATTTCCAAGTGATGCCTTTCCTTGGCATAATGCTTCAATGCAGTCGTGCGGTCGACCAATGCCTGAAACTCCGCCGGTGGCAATTCTGGTAAAGATCGTGGCAAATCCTTCTTTGGGTTCATAGTCTGCTGAAGCTCCTGTTCCTTTCGAAGCGCCAACAACTTGGCCTCCATGAGTTGCTCGAGCGACTGAGGCGTCACTTTCTCATGCTGGCCATTGCGTCGTGCATGATCTTGTTGGCGTTGGTGTAGTTGCGCCTTGATGGCTTGCATTCGGTCGGCGACCGCGCCGGAATTTCTGGCCCCTCGTATTCGAGGCAGTGCATCTACTTGATTTACGTCGTTGCTTTGTGGCTCCGTTGGCATAGTCTAATCGTGAGAATGGCTCCGCCGCCGCATCGAGTCGTCGCCGCTGCGATGCCCTTTCAAGATTTTCTCCAACTACCTGGGTGAAGTATACCATACTTCAATCAAGTTGAACCCACACTCGTACATCCGGAGTATTATCCGACATCCTTGTGACTGTTTAGTACATACTACTGCAGTACTAACTGCTGCACGAGCAGTTCAAACAACCGTAAACACCTTGGCAGCATGCCTTGAACCACCTCCGACTTGCAGCGTTGGCATCCAAATGAGCTCTTTAAATACGGCTTTAGAACCACAGGTCGATGGCTAGACGTGCTCGGGAGCTTTTTCCTCCGTAGGCATTGACCACATCATGGCAAAGACGCTCGTGATAATCCGGTCAGCCAGGGTGAGGTCGTCGTCCGATTGAATGCTGTCGGTCCGTTCAGCATGGCCTAAAAGCCAACAGGATCACGTATTCGAAGTGCTATTCACCGCCCACATACCCCGATCAAACGTCAGAATAAGTGGCCGGTATCCCCCCTTGAGTAGGAGCATGACATGCTTGAACACAGCGTCTTGAATCGGATGTCCATTCACAGCCACCAATTGATGGCCTACGGAGGGAAAGGTTGTCAGGTGTCGGCAAGCACAAAATATCAGGGACAGAACTTACCTGGCTGAACCTGCTTCGCCAGAGCGGCGGGGGTGTCAGGCAGCACGCGATGGACAACGGCCCCTTGATCAACAGGAAAGTTGGGCTGAAACATGATACCAATGTGGCGTTTCTCGTGAAACTCTATCGAGTAATGGGTCGTCGGAGTCGGGAACGGAGTCGGGTCGCCAGGTGCCGTCGTTTGAACTTGAATCGGGTGCGTCCGGGGATCGACCCACGTTGTGACTTTCGACTTGGTATGGACAAAGTACACGTTGCCGCTGTTCGTGACGCGCATTTCCCATCCCGGTGGAAGCGGCGTGTCAAAGTCGTCGATCTTGTGGAGCTGTCCGTCGTCCGCCGGGATGGATTCACCCTCGCTCTGTTGAGAATCTGGGTGGGTTGACTTGGATTCGTTGTCGCCATCTAGGAGCCCCAATGGATGACCATTGTCGTTCAAAATACAATAGCGTACCCGGTAGCGGTACTGGTACGGGACCAGCAGGACTGGTGTGCTTGAGCTCGGCGATAGTGTCCATCTGCACCACTATCAACTTCTCCATTTGAGTAGTTTCGCGCGCGACGTCATCCAGAGTGGCCTTCAATGCGGCGATTAGTTCATCTTTTTCTACAACTTGGCGCGTCAATGTGGCCAAATTGGCTGTGTTCGCGATTTTAGAGGTATTTGGTGCGGTCGTGGAGTCGACGGACGATGAAATGCCCGTCAACTGCTGCAGCTGGGTTTTGTACGCGTTGAGCTTGATTTCGAGGGATTTATTGACGGTCTGGGCAGCATGTAGCTCATCTTTTAAAGCCGTCGTGTGATTGTTGACAAGGGTCTGAACATCTGGAGAAGTAATCCATTCCGTGCTAGTCGTCGAGTCCACGACGAGAGGAGGCCCAAGCACCTGGATCAGTGTCTATTAGAGTCCCATCGAGACACTCAATACTGTACAGCACCTGAAGATCACGAAGAATGGTTGCTTCGAGCTGTTGCTTTCTGTGACAAAGCTGCCGCAATGCCGACGCGATCGGTGCTGCGAGTTGGGCCAAGTTCGAATGGGGTGTCTTGTCGTTCGCCAATATGTAGTCCACTAACTTGAGCGCATTTCGTTCAATGGATTCAGACAATTGCCCGTTTTCCACATGCGAGTTCATGATGGAATTCCACAGCTTGTCTTGTCGAGGTCGCTGGGTGGAATTGCTCTTGGGCGTGGAGTCGCCAGTCGTGCTTGAAGACGATAAAGCCTGCAGGTTTGACTCAGCAAAGGGAATCCTTTCTTTTCCTCTAAACTTCTGCAAGACTTCTCGTCCGTGGGCTACAAGGGCCTCCTTCTGTTCAAGACCGCCCATGAGGGATCGCTCGCCGCCACGTCGAGGGCAAATTCAAATTTTACTTGTTCCCAAATTTAGCATACAACGAATTTTTATTGGTTAAAATTTCGATTTTTCTTCCAACAAATCTACCAATCAAACCAAATTTCGAGAGATTTCATTGGCTTAAATGTGAGGTTTTCGGCAAGCACCTCGAAATTCCCACGCGACAGCAAAAAAAGCCACGAGCAAACTCGTCATGATCACGCTGCTCATGGCGATGACGATGTTGCGTTCTCGCCGAAAAGCTGCGCCATCCCAGACCTTTATGCTCATCAGGACAGCCATCTCGACAGGTTCTGAGCAGGGTGAGATGGTAGTCGTTCTACCCAGTGTACAATCATGTCTCAATGCAAATTTTGCTGCTCGTCACATCATGTACACGTGCCTGAGCGACAGTTGTTGTATTACATGAGTTTCCGAAACGAGAGGACATCAAAGCAAATGTCACACACGCGGGAAGCAGGCTGCTGGTCAAACTTGGGGAGCGGGATGCGATTTGTCGAGCACTTCCCACACACGATGCGTCCACAATGTCGGCAATGATGTTTTCTCGTGGCCATTCCAAAGCTTTCCCCGCAGTTCAAGCACTCGAGCACGGAATCGTCCGCGACCCATGGGGGCGGCGTGTTGACGTTGAGAAGAAGTGGGACCACCATGATGCCCTGCGACGTCGTCTCAGCCAGATTCACGACACTACGACCTACAGGATCGGAGTAAACACCAAGTCTTTCGTGAAATGCCTCAGTACCTGCAACATCTTGGACATGCACGGGAGCTCCGGCACGCACCAACGCGACGGAGACAGCTTCGCTGGCCTTTCCGACCGACAAATGCAATGGAGTGCTGCCGTCGAGACTTTGAACTTGAATGTTCGTTCCGTGCTCGATCTAGACAAGTCATGACAAGATTCATCACCATAAAGAAGCGACTTACAAACATGGCGACGACCGACGGCGGTCCTTCCTGGTGAGCGCAGAACAAATGCAATGGAGTGTATCCTAAACAAAACTAAGGCGCGCCACGGCCACCCAACGACGCACCAAACCAGTTTGTCCGGTTGGGATCAGCGCCATTTTCCAACAGGACTTGGAGAATCTTTTCGACTCGCGTGGGCGGCGCCATGGCAGCCAAATGAAGTGCCGTGTTATCTACTCATCCACAAATCACATCGCTGATGCATGTGGTTGGAGGACATCAACTCACTCTTGTAGTCTTCCGCATTAATGTTGAACTTTGGTTCCGCCTCGATTGTGGCTCCGTCAGATTGAATAGGTTCCGTCGTGGAGGAACACGACGTAACCTTCATTGCTTGATCTTCGATCATCTTCAACAGAACCAGTACCACCGACGCATACCCGTTGGCAGCGGCAACGTGGAACGCAGTCTATGCAGGTCATGCACTCGAGTCAAGTTGCTTGCGTCATCGTGGACGTACTTGACCCTCTTCGTCTACAGCTGCCATGTCCGCGCCGTGGTGCACCAACAAGCTCACGACTCCGATATCCCCTCTAAGCCAAGTCATCATGCAACTTCAAGGAGGGCGAAATCGGCATGTACCTCATGGCAGCGAGGTGAAGCGGTACTTGCCCGCGGTTGTTGGGAATGTTGGGGTTGCACTTGCCATTGTGCGTCAAGAATACTTCAGCGACGGGCTAGGACACAGGCAGTTAGGACAGACCGAGTTTCTACTTGACTGCACGCCGCACCTCGTTGCTCGCGTAATGCAGTGGGGTGTTGCCGTCGTGATCTTGAAAATTTGGCACTGCATGCAGTGACAGCAGGTACTTGACGATTTCGACGTGGCCATATCGACTGGCATCAGTGTCGACCGACATGAGAACGCGCCACAAGACTAGTTGATAAACGCTTCACCTCGCGATATGGAGTGGAGTCTGGCCTCTGCCAAATTCATCGGTCGAGACGGCCGAGATGTCGTTTACATCGGCATGATGGACATCCGCCAAGATCTGGCAATGCAACAGGTTGCCGCTGGCACACGCCAGGAGGAACCACACGCTCACGGAGTTGGTCAGAGTCACCCATGACAATGCTGCAGGGACAAGCACGCGTCGAATAATTGAGTCGTTGGCGGACTCCAACGCAGCGACGAGGGGGAGGATGCCGTTGTCGTCTGTTTGTTGTAGTGCCAGGGGCCCAGTCGGTTCATCCTGCACACACCCGAGTAGGTATTCAATGGAAATACGCATCGGTTGGCGTACGAGAAGAGCGTCGACGACACGAAAGTTTTGATGCTGCACTGCCAGTACCAACGGCGCGCTCGTCCGTTCGCGGTAGATTTTCAGCAGGCGGTCCGTCGAGCAACGATTTGACTTCATTTGTCTGGGGTACACATGCCTCAACTCTCGGAATCAATGGCTTGATCACTTTACGTACGCTTGCATTTCCGCGTCGGGCATCGCCATGATTGTTGACATGCAGAGGGCCATAAGACGATGTTTGGCCACGACGACAGCATCGCTTAGCGCCGACTGAAAGTTGCTGTCGAGCAAGTAAATAATGTCGATGACCTGGCTCTGGCACCGATCGAGCAATGATTCGATTTCTTCGATGCATAGTACGCAAAGTGCCGGAACATCGTACCTAGGAATTCGACGCGATCAGTTTGGCATGATGCAGAAGTGGTGCTGTCCTACCGCGTGGCGGCCTTGACCAACTCAAGCCAGAACGAGCACAGTGCTTTGGGTGTGTGAGTGGAGGAAACCGGAGGCTCGAGCGTCCCTGTGTAAATGTATCGAAGCAGTTCCTTGAAGACGAGGTACGGAGTGTCCTGGATCACCATTTTCAGCGGAAGTCGGAGCCTCTTATCACCAAGAACCGTGCTTGTGTAGCTTGTTGAGCTCTCTCGGAATGCTGTCCGAAATGCGCCTGATCGAAGCGAAAGAAGGAGGCGGTGAGCTGGGAGACTTGTTGTACACGCCGTGCCGTCATAGAGATCGTGGCTTGAAGGCTCTGAGCTGTCTAACGCTGGGAAGAGCAGGACAACATCGCTCAGGTAGTTGTTCATGAAGAGTTGACGTATTTGGTCTTGCTCAGTCTCGCCCATCACCACGCGAAGTTGGCCATTTTCGCTAGACCATGCCCGATCCTTCATGCCAAGGAGATTTTCACATGAGATGGGAATTACTAGTAGTACCAGGTACTCATTATCCGGACAGAATTTTCACCTTGTCCTTCAACTCGACAACGAGGAGGACCTGTGATAGAAGCGGTGCTCGTTGTTGAGTGTCCAGCGAGGACATGTGCATGACGGCATGGCCATTCATTCGAAAGTTTGGTCCACCGGCGCTATATTTAGCACCTCGAGGTTGGAAGCGACAACGACGAGGCATCCGGCATGGCCCGCGTGGAAGGGTATCGATGCCCGATCACAATGCGCACCACGACGATACAACCGTACGACGTACCTCGCTTTGTTAGCGATATCATCAGCCAGCTCCACGAGATTGGACACTGGACGACGCGGTGTTGCGCAGTGCTGAACCACACGACCCCGTCGGCAACCGTCCCTGTCATCAGCTCCACCATCACTCCAAGAGAGTCGCGAGTGTCGACGACACTTCTCACGGAAATGGACTTGATTAAGCGGAACCTCAACGTTGTCGAGAAGCAGCACAACACGCGCCTCATGTCCGAGATTGCATACCTTCAATGCGCCTTGCGTAGCGAGGCCGAAGAGAAAATGACCGACTTTGAGAGCTACGTGGAGGCCAAGATCAATCAATGCATCGACGAGGTGCGTGCCAACGTGTTGCTTCGAGTGGAGCCCTCACAGGGGTCGGGACAGCACACGAAAAAAGTGCGCCAAGACCAAGTAGAAACGTCGATTGCGCTGTCTGCGATGCAAGATCACTGGATGTCGCTGCAAACGGACGTGTCGGCGCTGACGCAGCAGATCCATAAGGTGCAAACCACGATGGAAATGACCGCGAATCGGACTGTCGAGATGATGGCATCTCTCCACGAACAATTGAAAGAGTCATCGAAGCTCCGGGACAAGCACGAATTGAATCTCGGGAATCAACTTGTGGGTTACCTTCTTTTATCCCTTCGACCAGACGGAAAATAAGCTGTAGACTCAAGTCAAACTCCAGCTCCACGAATCGAACATGGGGTGCAAGGTACTGTCAAGGCTGCAGACTTGCCCACGGGGTTGCTGTGACGTTATCGTAGACTTCCGTGGACCAGCTGACAGCCCGCGTCGACATCATTCGAAGCGAAGTCAAGTTCGCAATCGACCAGCTCAAGATGCAAATCCAGCAGCACGCACGAGCGTTGAATCGGGTGTCAAAAGGGTCAAATTTGTTTGAGATGATGACACCAGTGTGGATGACTCGTTGAATATCTCGACTTCTCAGTGACGATGTAGGTTGCTGCAAGCCCTGATATCGCAAACCCTCAGCACACAAAAATAGACCACGATCCGTCGCGTGCGTCGCCTACTAGATTGAGTAAAAACCGGCCGATGTCTGCGCGGCCGACGTCGTCGCAGCCAACGCACGTCCAACCTGGTACGAGTCAAGGCAGCCAAGCAAAAAAAAGGGCTGATGGGTGTCGTGAGCATAGCTCTATCAACGAATGCTTTTGTGTTTGCCGAGAACATTCCCATCCTCCAAGCAACTACAGAGCCGTCAAAGTTTGATATCCAAGGCAAAACATGTCCGGTGGCCCATCCACTTGCCTGTGACATCGTACTGGATGCTGGGCTGCCCTTACGCGAAGGGGGAAACAACAACTTTTCGACCCACACCTCTGACAACGCTTCTGCACACATCCGACCGTCCGACCGGACGGTACCTCCATGTTATGTCTTGGAAAATAACAAGAAACCCCCAGACAACGCGGCGGCGCCTCCTCAACCGACGACATTTGCTTTGCATCCGAGTACTTTCGGCAAGTTCTGCGAGCAAAAGCAGGATGCATCGATGTTGCGCGACCAGGACAAGTCGACAAAGGTGCTCCATGCAAAATCAACCAAATCCAAGTCTGTAGATTCGGCAAAGCAAAAAATCCCGCAGCGGCCAAGCTCAGCAAGACCGCGACCGACCTCCAAATCGATGCCCTGCACGTCAACTCCTGTCGCCCATCCCTTGCAGTAGACGGCGCGCAGTTTGGATTGTTGGCGTTCTCGTACATCGAATACACAATGTGGGCTTCCTAAGTACTAAACTAAAACTAGTCGTTGCGAAAAAGTACTAACAAACTGTACTAAGTTGGTTGAGATAATTTGACGCAGGTTACTTATATTGACCGATAGTTGCGAGCCAACAGAGCAGATACATGACATCGTGGGCGTCGATCAACCTTGGCCGCACTTCGACGGGGTCTCCACTCCGCAGCATCAAGCGAGCTCGACTGAGTTCAACTGACGCAGGATGCAGCGGTGTGGACTCTCCGTTGTCGCCTTTAACAGCGGCGTGGAAGAAGAAAAAGACGGCTCCCGCTTCCGCTGAAACCGAGGAAGCACTTGAAGCAAGGCTTACAGCATCGTACGACAAGGCGCTGCGATCGCACAACGCTCCAGAGGTGTGCAGATGAGTAGAAAGAAAACTTCAATTTCCACTAGGTGGCAATATCCATGTATGCCGAGATGTTGGAGCACGTGGAACACCTAGGACAGAACCCGTCGTTCACCACGCGAAAGATATTGTACTTGTGTCTGAAGAATATGGCCCGCTTGGAGGCTGAATATGACCCGCCCTTTCTCGCCGATGCACTGCAGCACTACGCTGAGGTATGCGCGAGCATCGTGCACCCAACGTGTTCGTGATGTTTCGATGTAGGCTCTCGAGATTGATGGCACTGACTGCATCGTGTGGTTTGACATCGGGTGCATTGCATTTCGACTGCACCAGTACGGCCCTCTCAGCTGTGTGTTCATATCAGATGACAGCGATGTACCAGGTTTGCCTTGGCGCGCATGCTCTTTGAACGAGCGTACACCATCGACGCAACATTCTGGCCATTGCTGCACAAACTCGCGTATACGTTGTATATTTTGCATGGTTTGTGGCCATTCACGCCACATTGAGAAATTGATGGGCCGTTAGATGACGTCGCGTGTGTTGAAGTCATCGACTGCATCCTCCACCACGACAGTGCCCATGCAGGTGCACACTACCTGAAGACATGTATCACGCAAGGCTTCGCTCCACAAGGGTAACCAAACACTTGATGGCTACAATGATGGGCATCACCTAGAGCGATTCCATCACCCCTTCACGAGATTCTAAAGCACCGAAATGCACCTCGTGAGACGGTTGCACCACCTCCATCGCCAACGCCGTTGGTGTACAAGTTGTCGGATCGGTCATGGGAGTCCCTCGGCTGTTTGCTGTTGGAAATATTTGACTCCAGAGTGATCGAGGAAGACACCACTTTGTCGATGGTTCATGCTCCTCTTTATATTACGCTCGATGCCGCCACTACCAGCGACAAATCGACTTTCTGCCAGCCCACATCATCGGAAACGACGAGCCAAACACCCGACACTCTCAAGAACACTCGGGACAATGTTGATGTATCGATCTGTGATCCCGACTCTGTCGACCTGGAATCCACCGGTATCGCTTCAGAAGATACCGGCCGCCAGCTACCCACAGACACACCTCCATCCGAGGCAGTCGCCATGTCGCCGTGTTCAAATCATCGCCGAACGTCGCATCGAACACTGAAACGACTGCAGGACGAACAACTTGCCGCGACCAAAATCGCAAAAGAAACAGATGTAGCGTTTCGTTTGATGGTATCGTTGAGAGTGTGGGGCCCGTGGGTCGTGCGTGACTACGCGTCGTAGGCATATTTTGACGACGATTCCGATGCATCGATGGAATCCCAGTTTGATTCCCCAACTCGAGTACGATTAAGTGGCGACCGATCGTCGCTCGATATCATCAGCAACGATACACCCACCCACCGCCTACCGCTCACTAGTGCACAGCCCAAGCGTTCCGTCGTGAAAACAGTCAGAATTCGAGTCAAGCTGCGGGGCCCTGATGTCGTGTATAGGAGGGTCCAACACCCCCTGCAGTCGAGTTACCATTCGACACAGCAACGTTCCTTCTCACACACGCTTTCGGAATCCACACCAACAAGTACCAACGATTTTCAATCGTGCGATTGCGGTAATGCCGCCATAGGGGGATCGAAGATGTCATGATCCAGTATATTGAAGCGTGCGCCGACCGAGTTGACGTGTGCTTGGGCGACAGCCTCGTCAAGGTGTTGCTGTGGATGGATAAGTGCATCCACCACACGCTTCAAGTCCTCGTCCCGATCTCCCGTACGACGGCGAAGTTTAGATCGACGTGTCATCGTACCTTGCATAGATTTCCACGACAAGTTATCACCTAGTGCTCGCCTCTTTCTCCTGGAACTGCAAGTAGACGACTTGCTTGCAAATCATGATCCCATGAACCATTGCCTCAACGCCTTTCAAGACGCCCTCTGTCGTTGCCAGGGCTTCCTCAATATGCTGCAACTGCGCGATGACATGGAATCACTGACGCCGCGAATGCTGTGGCTCCAAATTCACATAAACGAATATGGCGATGGCTTAGGCCGTACGGCGACACTTCTGTCCGACCTAACAGATATCCTGCGACAAGGAGTTCACCTGGCCAATGTCAAGACCTTCCCGGTTTTGTCTCAAACCTCCATCGAAGCGAAGACGCACAGAATTCATCTGGCGTCACTGGCCCTGGAGGCGCGAGCTTTATTTCAGGTAGGTTTCCGCGGGTCGTTCCTGAACAAGGCAATTTACGAAACGTTTTCAGACCCACTCCAACGAAAAGAAGATCGTGGATCTGATTTTGCCGCAGTATGACCCGACACTTGGCCACGCTGGCCACATCAGCGAACTTGTCGCCGATTATTGCGTTTACTTGGTATAAACTCCACAACTTTTGGATGTACCGTTTGATGGTGAAACCTCCAGCGAAACAATCCAACAAGAGCCAGCGATATGGACAAGATGGGCGACGGACAGCTCAACTTGCCATTGTTGCCGATTCTAGTAACGTGTCTCCGTCGTCTCGAACGCTTCGACAAGTGTTTTGACCTCCTCGTCGTGTGCTTCTATTACGCCCTGCAACGCACTGCGAACGAGGTTGGTTGCTACTGCCTTTGTCATGTGGTTGCAATTGCTTGAAGTATTCGTGGTTGGTCCATTGTAGTGTCCGAGTAAGTCGGCCATGCAATGCATCAAGTACATTGCGATGCAGCTTAAACCCGTCTTTGACCGCCCATATTCCAAGCCTGCCCTGTACTCGCACTTGTTGGTCTACTGCTGCTTTGCCTATCGAGATTTGATCTTGGCACAGCACAAGTCGATCAAGATGCTCCATCGCCTGGTACACTTTTTAACCCCTCAGCTCCGAATTCGCTTCGTCGGGTCAATTTTACAAACATTTCACTCCATCGACTGGAGGTCCAAACCGCACGACGGCTTGGTCGCGATGTTGTTGAGCGCGTTACAGCACCTGAACAAATCTATCACGACGACGGCACGGTCCGCTGAGTTGATGTCGCCGTGGTTCGCCAAGACCCTTTGCACACCGATCGCCCATTTTTTGAAACAGCAAGGGGATATCACCAAATACACCCCTCAAACCAGGTGTGCCCGCCGCCGTCATGCATGGCCGTGCTAAACTTTGTTGCAGGCGCTTGCTGTACACAGCGTGTACGTCGTTTGCCATGGTTTGGTACGAAGTTCATAAAGGACAAGCGGTGCCGTGCGAAGGCCTCGTGCGCTTGCTGCATGACGCGATGACTAGTCGCGATGGGCTGCAAGGTCGAGGTGTTTGCACAACTGACACGCACTCGCACAGCTTTCTGGAAGTTGCGAAGCGCATGCTGCAAGAGTCTCCCGAAAACGTCGATGACGAATTGGCCCAGTGCTACGCCTGCCTGCATGGGTACAGCCTCTTGACGACATGTATGAACCACCACGGGGACGACGTGCGTGCCAAAACCACAACACCCGACACCATCATGGAGCTCTTTTCGTTTTGCCAAAATACAGACAAGAAACTCGTTCGTAAGGAATCGGCTGCGTTGTTTGCGAGTGTGCTGGACTTGCCCGACACCAAGGCAACGCTGCAGGAGCTCGTCCCTGTGAACGGTACAGCTGACCACTGTTCAGTTCTGACGACGTGACAACCCCTTGGTCTAGCACTTCAAAGTTCGCTGAAGGCCTATATGAACCCGGCAGCATCGGCAGATATTCACGTGGTTCAACCCATCCCTGTCGACAACATGGTTCCGAGCGACGATTTGCAACCGCTCAGTGAGCTCTGGTTCGACTTGGCCACAAACTTTTCCCTTCCCAAAGTCAAGCGTCGCGGGCGCGACTACCCCCAGCTTCTGCAGTACGAGGTCGATTGCGTCAAGTACGTCAACTACCTACGCAATGACATTTACCTCCATCCCAATCGGGCCATGTCGTACCGCATGATCGCGTCGTGCGCCAACGCACTGCGCTCGATGATCGTGGACCACTGGATTGTCGCGTGGCGCAACTTCACTTACCCCAAAGTTCAATCATGCGCAGACTTGACGTCTGGGACGGCCACATCGTTTGAACTAGTGGTGTCGACTCCGTTCTTTAGCCAGTTCATGGAGTGGATCACGTTGGTGCAGCAAGCGGAAGATGACGAAAGCAGTCAACGTGAAGTCATGTACAAGTCGCGGGAAATGTCCCTTGTGTACACGAATTACGTAGCTGTGTTGGCCGAGCTCGCTCTTCGTTGCTACGACATGGCAGCAGCGCTGGATGCAATGCTCGCGACGGAGTGCTACGAAGACGCTGGGATTTTGGTGTGGAAGATGCTGTCGGAAAGCGCTGAGGCGCATGCCGAGCGCCTCAACGCCCTTGCATCCAACTACTTTACATTGGGACTGCAACAACCCAACGTGACGGGCGAGTTTGGTCTGCGACTCAACTATATGCTCGGAAAATTGGCCAAAAAATCGATCAAGAAGCGCACGGGCCGCCTGAACGATTGGAGAGCCGCGCTCGAGTATTTTCAAACGGCCGAGATGCATCGACAAAAGAGCGACCTGGAGTCGCTTCCCCATGCGTTTTATCAACTACATGCGTGTCGCCTCAAGATCTTGCTGGAACCAGTGAGCAAGACGGGGGCGTTACAGTCCCGTGACGACCTCCAGCCAGCACTCGAGGCGCTGGCGTTGGCCAACCAGTACTTTTACACCAAAAAGGTGTCGTTGAGGTCCAAGTCGGACGACACCGCGACCCCTGGAAACGAATGGACCCAAGAAAAAGTGACGAGCTTGTTGGCGGATGCATCAACACTTTGGAGGGCTCGAGAGGTCTTGGTGTGGAATTGCCTCGAAGCCCTCGAACGCGTCCCACTCGACGATCGGTACTTTCATCCGGCGTACTATACCTATGCTTGGGGGCTTCGATTCGCCCAACCGATTGTCGACCGAACCAACGAGTACTGGACCGAACGGTGTACTCTGCAGTCGGCCGTGAAGGCGATGAAACCCCTCTTTGATCGAAAACGACAGCAAGTTGTCGCGATTTGGCTCTCCGAGTCCGAAACAAACAACCTGGAAGAGTTGCATCAGCAGCAAGCCAAGTACGATCGCTTGCGGTTGAAGTATTTGTCGCTCTACCTCGAAACGATGACGATGGCTGGCGATTCCCAGGTACGTTTGGCATGTCTTCGTCGTCCGATGTATGCACGATGTGTGAATAGCGCGTATCGGACTTGACGTCGTGGATTCTCGCAAGCAAGGAAGAGCACTGGGTGATCGATGCGATGCTGATGAAAGCGCTGTCCGCGAGCAGTTTCTTGGCGCGTGGGAAGATCCTGGATTTGTATTTGAAATGCTTGTTTCCGTCGCAAGACGACGTGAATTACCAGCCCAAAGTCCTGGCGCATTTGAATCGTGTGTACACGACTTACTTGGAATACAACGAGGCGTGGCATCGAGTGCGAACTCCGGTCGAGTACGAATCCTCTCTCCATGCTTCTTTGGTCATCCCACATGCAATCGTAGCCAATCCATGGGGAGCTGTATCTGGGAAGTGGCGCTGTCGTATGCGCTGTACGCCGCTGTCCACGAGCAAAATGTCCAGTGGTGCAACGACGCAGTGGCCCATGTCGAGAAGAGCTTGATCCAGTATTCCCAATCGCGTGCGGCGAGCCACGATGTAGTCATGATGGACCTCTACCAAGAGCTCCACATGGAGGAACAGCCGTATTGGGCAACTTTGGTGGACGAAGCGTTGACGTTCTGCTCAATCAAGTGGCCCGACAAAACCAAGACAAAGGCCAAGCCTCATGTACCCAAAACGAAGCTCCTGTTTCTCGCCTCCACGTCGTAACGATTGGCGAGAATACTCAATTCCTTCATCCACTCGTTCTGTCTTGGCTGTGTGTACGTATTCAGTTGGGTGGTACTTGCTGCATGAAGGGCAGCACAGAGGCCATGGGACTGGAAAGTCTGTGGATGGATTTGAATGTGCTCCAGCATGATCTGGAACGACGACGATGTGCAAGTGTTTGGATGATTCGTCATTGTTCACGACTGTCTCGGGACCCAACCTATTTTTAAACTTGTTGACACGGCAAATACAACGTTCCGGTCGCAGCGACAACAACCTTCTCCGACGCCATGAGCGAAACTTCGCGTGCGAAGAAGAAAGCTGTCGACCCGTCCAAACTGAATCGATACATCGATAGCCCATCGTCGTTCAACACAGACGGACAAGTATCGTCACCTTTCTCCTTCTAGCGCATCTCGATCCCTCATGTCGATTGTGCTCTCCCAGTGCCGCCCGGCGACTCATCTAGGCACCGTGCATCGCTCGTGGAATGGCGAGAACTGCGACAGCACGGCTTTCTCAAGGCAACCCGACAAGCCATGGATGGATGACGAGTCTCACTTGTTGCAGTGTAGGCTAAACAGTCGGGGAAAAGTTGTGATGCTGGAAAACGACAACATCCACACGACGGTGCTGGGAACAACGCCGCAATTCAACTCATATGCACGCATCAGGTACCGTGCGGGCTTTCGGGCACTCCTCGTAGTGATCTCATGCAGGAGCCTCGAGTCCGATATCATGGACAAGGCAGGGCCAGCCCAACCCGGCATGGTACGGTTTGGAGATGGCTCACCGATTCGTTTACTTGACTCGTGTAGCACATGATGTTGCTGTCGCACGAAGCCGTGGCAAACAACACGATGGTGGCGGCCGCCAGAGTTGGTTACGCTCGGGTGGCATCGGCAGGGCTTCAAGAAGGCATTATGACGCCAGCGCAGCGGCGGGAAAGGCTCAAGCTGGAGACAGCGTCGCAGCAAGCCAACGCCCTCAAGAAGAAAGGCGAGATGAAAGAACGTCGGTTGATGCAGCTCATGTAGATCCCTCCGAATCCAGCCGATCCACCCACTGAGTCTCCAAGCGTAGGCAACATCAGTATCCGTGCGGCGTCCTCGGACTGGACGGGCCACACAACGCAGGTTCGTTCAAGCTGTACATGGTGGAGCTGGTGTGCTTCCTGCCCTATTGCTAGATTCTACAACGTATGCTGCGGCGGCCAAGAGGATCGAAACCAAGCAAAGTCACGACCAACGCCAACACCGTATGCGCGAAGACAACTTGCAACGGTGTGTCTTGAAGCATGCTGCACAAACTCTGACAGTCGACGCTGCGCCAGACATACGTCGATCATTCCTGCGCTGGGTTACTCGTACTTAGAACACGACATGGCGATCAAACCTCCAAAAGTCACCAAGGTGTGCCAAGAAAAGATGAAGGTGCTGGGGGCCCACCCCGATACTCATCATCGCATTTTCAACGAAACACCCCCTGTGTGGCATCCCGAACGGTACACTTGCTCCTTGGTCGCCGAAAGGTCACTCCATGAGGTTCTCCGACCATGTCGTTGTGTAGGGCACAGCATCTGCGCGATGAAGGACAGGCCGGACGGCCGTACGACATTGTGACCAAAGGTCGTATCGAGCACTTTCCACCGAGCATACCCGAAAAGCATCATCCGCGCCAAGCTCATCCATCGATAGCGATCCACTCGATATACAATTCCAATTAACCCATGACGTTGATGGCCCGTTCACCACTTGTCCAGCCCAAACAGTTTGTTGCCTAAAGGTGTCGGAGTAAAGTCGGAGGGAAACCTAGCCATGGCAATCGTGTTCGATAGGGTGCTTAAAGAAGAGGGAGAGAAGGCGCACCATTCAGCGCGGTCAAACTTGGATAATTGCATGGCTGGACGAAATTCGGTGTCTGCTGTGGGGATCATCTTGACGTACTGCACCATGCGAAAGTTGAATCCATCGTTGGGGAAGTTGCTACACATCGAAAGTGTGGAGGTCACCCATTCAATGGCAACTGAGGTCGCGGGAGAGCACCCACCCGTGCGGCAATTGACTGTTCCAAATTAGCAGCGACCCAGCTTTCATCGGGATCTTGGTGATCTCTCGGCGCATATCGTCGTCCTCAGGCACCTCGATAAAATTCCGAGTTGCGACCTGTGGAAGCGCGCCGTACGAGCCTTCATGCGCCTATCGCCATCTTCTCAATATGGAGAAGCATCTAACGCATGGCATACCTTGGCCCAATTGAAGAACCGATCGCCCGTGAATCCAGGGACACAATGGAACCCACCGCTTTCCACGGGGCAGGTGCAAAGTGCAATCAGCCCTTGCACGCGAACCCCACCATAATGTTCGTGGACTTTATTTGGCTGAAGAATGTCGTTGGGTAGGAAGCCCGCGGCGGATGTACCAAAATGAAATGGGCTCAGGTCCCAGTGCAGCCAGTCGTGTTTGGTTGTCCAGTTCAAATTCGCTTCGTCGTCGACACCTTGAAGCAATTCATGGGCAACTTTACCTGGGCGCATGACGCCATATCTGAATCTCATGATGAGACGCTTCTATGTGGGCAGGATAAAGATAACCTGTCGATGCTAACCCACAACTGCTCAGCCTCGAGGAGAGTGGAAAACACTTCGTAGATGACTTTGTTCTGTCGGTTGCGCCACGACTGGGGTTGCTTGTTCAAGAACGTTGGATCCAATTTCTTCATGCGTTTCCAATACGGAAAGCGCCCGACAAATCCGCCGTTCCGACACACTTCACGCGGCCAAGCGTCGTTGCCCCATGTCGTCGCGTCGTCTCGCTTGACTCTCCCATTGTGTTCCAAGTAATCCCAGATCTCCCCACAGGAAGCTTCGCACTCGGCGCCTGTCAGCACGTTGTCTATCACGACAAAACCATCGCGCTTGAACGCTTCCACGTAGCCTTCCTTGTCGGACGCGGCGTACGCAGGGTAGAACTCCATCGCAATCAACCACGAAAAGTCGCGCTCGGATTGGTTGAGACTCAGTTATCGTTAACCGGAAGTTTCGGATAACGACAAGAACTGGGGAAACGCCACGTTGGTGCGGACGGTGGTGTGGCTACGAGATGTTGTCGATATGCCGCGTCGGAGTGCTCACGGCAATTGTCCTGGAGATGGCGGTGTCTTTGCCGACGATGTCTATCTCAGGAGCTACATATGTCGTTCGTTTGCATTCCAGCGCGTCGGATCCGTTGAATCTTGACGGCGTAGTCGGTGAGAATGCGTTGCTCGGGGATCCTGTCCCCATGACGTCCAGCAATGGAAAGCGATACCTTTGCTACGTCCCTGTTCAAAAAGAAGTCAAGGACAGTAGTGAGCCCAAGGCAAAGCAAAGCTTGCTTGAAATCGCGCGCGATGCCATCACGCGACTCAAGCCTCGGTGCTTGCCGACTGTCGAAACCGAACTTCACGGTTCCTACGAGATCTGCCATGGAAAGGTGAGTCCGATGCAACGAAGGTATACTGAAAGTTCTCTTCATGTAGAGCGTTGCTGTGTCGGACATCGACGGTGTAATGGCGAGACACGACACGAAGCGAAAACTGGGCACATTGCAGTCCGAATCGTTCGTCCCAGGGTTTGCCAACTATGAATTTCGTCATGCCGAGCGGTATCCCGACGACATTAAGGTGCATTTCAGGCTTATGTTGACATCAGCAGACCAAGAAGCACATGCATAGGTTGTGGAGCGACTAGCCACCGGCGAACCAGTCTACACACAGGTGTACGGTCACACAGCCGACGAAGTCGCCGTTGTCGTGCAATACGTATGTGCATCATCTCCCGTGACAGCACTTCTCGGGCGACGACCGCACACGCCGACAGCCATGGAAGCCCAAGACCGCGCGATAGCATTCCTGTTTGGATCGCGCTGGTTTTGCTTCGACAAGGATGCCAAGTCCATAAACGACGTGCAGGTGGCGCCATTTGTAAAGCCTTCATTTGAAGCAATGCCGTGTATTCGCCGCACGGAAGGTCGATTGAGTATTGCTTGAAATCCGTCTTGGGGTTCATGGAAGACCGAACGTAGGGTGGTGGTCGTATGAGTTTTGCCTTGATGATCGCGTCAGCCAGTTTCACCGCGAGCAAAATGGAGAAACGACGGCCGAGTTCTCGCTGGGGTGCGGCTGACCTCTCCTGTCACGATTCAATACATTGAGTAATGTGGCCGGTGGTAGGGTGCACGCACCCGACACCAGCCCGGCACTCTTGAAGAACCACAACCATCTGACGACGGAATTCCTTGACGACACATACGACAAACCCCAACCGACGGTTGTACAAGTGTACGAAGGAGGAACTCCGTGCGGCGAGGTGGAGCGAACTCGGTACGTTGCGCTTGGTCTGGCAATGTTTGAGAGTTGCTTTCTTGCAGGTCGACGCGGGTCCTGCTCTTTTGCCCAAACTTGAACAAGCAAGCACCATACATCATCAGCATTCAAGAGAGCGCGACTTGTTCGTATTTGTTAAAAGTGGCCGTGCCTTCGGTATGACAGCAATCAGCCTGCTACTTCCGTGTTGGACTAAGTGCATGTCACCTTCTTAGCTCTGTGAACACCCCCACTTTGCCAATGAGGAGCGTCTCCGCTTGGAGTCGTTGTCCCAGACAATTCACTGCGTTCCATCCTTGGAAATCACCCCGCCTTCCGACGCACAAGCGAAAGCAGTATCGTCGTCAACGGCGTCGAAGACGTCAAAGGACGAATTGTAGCGTTCGCCCCCGAACCACAGAATTCAGACCTGCATTTGGCGTTCTGACATCTGACACTTCGTGCGCATGATTTGTTACTCTTCTCGTTGGTGCATGCAAGTCCAACATCTATCGTATCGCGCCCATCCTACGGCTTCCATGGACAGCATTATTGCTTGTACGAAGCGCGTCGCAATACGCCGCGCGGAGGCGGCTCCACGTGGAAAGCCAGTTTCCTCATTGCCACAGGTACTTTGTAAGGAAATTCGTTGGGGTCGGGCGCTCCTTTCAACGCGTTTGATGGCCTTTTGGCGTGGATCCAGCGGCCGTTCAAGGTGGTCACGCCTATCCGGAATGTATATCCGGATATGTGTTTTTCAGTGGGTTGTATCAATCTATTGACTTCATTTTTGTATTCGACACGCACATTTTTATTCGGTCGAGGGGTCGCTTCCAACCGTTTCGCGGACTTTTTGGACCCCCTTACAAAGTGCAAGTTGTTACATGGTCTGAGATGGCCGGTAGGGTTGCGTCTTTTCGAAGAACATTCTTGTCCAATCAGAGGGCTGTGTCGTTTGTTCTTTCTTCTTTAATTGGCCAATATCGTGTCAGCAACCCTGCCCCTTCCCTCCCCATCTGAATACATTATTTGACAGAGGTATTAACTGTCGCGACATCGAGAAACGCCAATGGACCGGGCGGCGGGCGTTGCAAGGTATCAATTGTGAGAGGATGCCACGAAACTTGGAGAAGGGAATTTCCAATTTGACTGCCGATGTTGAAGCGCCATCGCGCATGCTTTTATATCCATGGCATCCCATAAAGTTATATCCCTCCGTATAAGCTCCGCTTGACGTCACTTTTGGATATTCGGCGACGATGGAGACAAGATCTTGCCCGTCCATGAATGAGCTGCGCGGCATCGCGCGTGTAATGGGGATGAAGTACTTCCGCCACTTGAGCAAACTTGAGCTGCATCAAGCGTTGCAACGCCAATTGCACCAAGTCGAGCGCGCGCAGGCGAGAGCCGACTCGCCAAAAAGCAAGGGAAAGGACACAAAGGGCCGGGGAACCCGCAGGTTCTGGTGGCGCAAATCCAAGAAGAAGAAGGGGAATGCAACGGGGAAAGCGGAACCTCAAATGCTCAACACGTTGGATCCGATCATGCTCACCGAATTGGGCCCGCACACGGTATTGTCATTTCTTGCATTCAATGTCGGTAAGCGCAGTGCGTACTTAGTTCCACTTCGTTCGACCGAATGGAATGGTCGTCGTGTACAATGTCGACACCCTTGTTCAATACATATTGGCCACGGGCAGCTTCGCAGAGCCGGAGACACGGATTCCGTTCTCCGACGAAGTGCTGAAGCAGCTTGACAGTGCGGTGCGTGGACAACACAAGATGAAGTGTTGCTTCTCACCGTTCTACCCAGGCCACTGCCGCGGGGTTTAAGTTTGCTAGCGTTGTAGCTGCGCAACAACAAAAAGGCAAATTTGAGCAAGAAAAGATCAAGCGGGATGGGCTCTTGGGTACTTTGTACTCTTCCCATCGAATGTGGTTATCAGTGTTTGGGGTAGGCTTGGAGCGCTGCACGGGAGAAGTCGTGACAGAAATGCTTCACATTATCGAGGACGACGACGCGGAAGAAGGAGAAATGCGCTTGGTGATGGATGTGTTTCCGTCATTCGCCGACATGTTTGGTCAGTTGAAGAGCAACGACCCTGAATACGCAGCCCAGTGCCACAAACACTACATGGAGTACTTGCGAGGACCGCCAAACCGTCCGACCGTCGATGCATCGGGCCTGTTTGACGTTGTGCTGGACTTCATGAAGCAAGTGGCGGCGCAAAGGTCGTCGTCGCGCTATGGCGCATAGGCGGGTGTGTGGACAAACCGTAGCGCGGGTTTAGAGTAGACAATAGCTAGTGCATGCAGTGTAGTTGGTAGGGTAGATTAGGGTAGTAAGGAGACGAGTTCTTGTTTGATTTCAATTGGACATGATCCATACGGCAAGACCACAATTGAAGCTCCTCTTTGCCATGGAGCAACGACGAAGAAGACCAATATGTGAGATAAATAGAGACGTGGTTATCGTGCGCCATGCACAAATCTACTCCGACGTTTCGTGGGGCTTAACAAATGGCGCGATCGTGTCGCCAACTTGTATTCGAAATGAATCGGACGCTTTCAACGCTAAAAACTGACCAAAGTAGATCTTGCCTCGATCTCGTCGGTAAGAGGCAAGGTGCTTCAGCGGCCCGGCCTCGCTTTCGCCCGTGGTTTGGTTGATGTTGACCATCGTACAGCGTCCGCACGGTCCCAAGACGGCCAACGAGTGCGACCCAATTGCCACCTCACTCCATCGATCTTCAGCATGGGCATCGCACCCATCGACGATGAAATTTGCCCGAAACACATCCTCATCGACGTCGCTGCCAAATTTCGAGTTCATGAGCGTGACGCTGGCGCGGGAAATCAATAGAAATGGCGCCTCATTGGCAAATCCGATGGCATGTTGAGCTTTCGAAGGCGTCAATCGACTGCGACGACTCTCCTTGGACACTCGCACCAGCGCACACGGTCGGCCCAGGACATTTGTAAACCACGCATTCACCAGATCATCGTATTTCTTTCCTTGGCAGTCAGCAGCGCAGACGCTGACATTCTAGTTCCAAGTCAAGGCACATTTTCATTCTACCATGGAGCGACCTCACCGTTGTCAATGATGGCACGTAGGTCAACGGTATCGAGAGTGGCGAGACGGGGGTGCTATCAGACATCGTAATGTTGAGAGCTTGGGCTTCCAGATCGACGACCGGGCGAAGGGTTGCCATTTTGGGCAGGTCTTTCTGGCTAAACGTTTTCAACGTTTCAGGGTCGACAAGGGCCCACTCGCGGTCGTAAAACAGGCCATCAGGTCCCACGGCCCATCCCGACACAGACATGCCCCCGCACGACTTGATAGGAAACAGTGTGATTTTGCTCAATCGAATGGTTGTCGACTCGATTCGCATCGGCGGCGCTTCCATCACTGTTGTCGTTGGCAATGCCGATACGTAATACTGAACCACAAACGCAAGAAAGGCATCCACGTCTTGCTTGGTCGTCATGTATCCAAATGACACGCGAATTGCCCCCGTCGGGCGATCGTGGATGACGTCCATGGCGTCCCCGCAGACGTGGCCTACGAGGCATGACGACGGGACGGGTGGAGTGCGGACGTACCTTGGTTTACGTGGGACAGCAGGTCCATCGTGGTCAAGCCAAGATAAAACTGACACGCCCCTGGGTTACAAAAGCACCCTGTTCGTATGTGGATGCCGTGGAGGCTGGCCAAAGCGCTAAACTCCGTATATCCCACGTACGACCCGTCATGCCTTTTAAAATTGCACGCGACAATCGATCCCGCCTCTTGTTTGGAACGGACGTGGTGGGAGCCGTAGATTTCGCACACGCGAGTGCCATTGGCATGGCGAAGAGTGGACAGCGCCTTGTACGTATACGTCGAGAGAGCGCCGACGTGACGCTGAATGGACTCCATCGTCAGCTCTCGCAGTGTGTCGAGTCCAGTTTTACACGCCAGGATCGACAGGTACGGTATGGTACCGTCTTCGAATCGTCGGTGCGTTGCTGCATGGGGCCGGCTAATGTTGAGCGCACTGAACGACGTAGCTAACGTTCCACCGCCATGGAATGGTTTAATCAAATGGCGTGCGATCGATTTCTTGATGAACAAGGCACCGACACCGGAAGGATATCCAAACAGCTTGTAAAACGACACCACCATGAAGTCGGGTTTGAACTAGGCATGAGCGTCACAACAGGCTCGCCATGGGAAGAGGATGGGTCACCTCGCTAAGGTCGATCGGGTTGGTCCCTGCCAGCTTGGCGGCGTCGAGTAAAACAAGCCATTTCCCCTGGGGGTGGTGAACGGGTTGTTTGGAAGGGACTTGACACTTTTCGAGTGGAATTCTGTTGAGGACATTGCGATGCAGGGCTTCGATGGTGGACAAGGGGTGCTTTGCGCCGCTGAAATTGCACTCTCCCGGGAACGCCACGAGATTATACACATCTTTTTCGTTGTTGGTTTCGTCCTGATGAATACTTTGTGTCGCTGCTTGACCGACCTGCACACAAGATAAATCAGAATCCAAAGTCCCCCAAGCCATGCCGCTCACCGCGTCCAAGAGCTCCACAGGCAGGGCAAACATAGTCGCGCCCCGTGCATTGGCAAACGAACGTATGCCGAGAACACTGTTGTGTGCATTCACACTGTACGCGAACGAGCTTTGACGTGTAAATGGGAACGACTCACCAACGAGTTTCAGCCCGGCAGTCGCACCAGACGTGAACACAACGTCATATTCTTCGAGACTTGCATGGAAGAACGCAGCGACATCACGACGAGCGCTGTCAATTTCTTCGGTGGTGCGTTGGCTTGACACTGCGGAAGAGCTATGCGGATTCCCAAATAAGTTTTGCTTCAAGAGCGTTGCGTGCTGCTCGACCTGGTGCGATCCGTAGATCGTCGCACCGGCGTGGTCGAGGTACACTTGGCCTTCCAAGTGGCGGAAGCGTTCGGCACGAAGCTTGGACAAGATGTCTTCACCTTGGGCCGTGCCATAGCCGTACCCTTCGTCCATCCTTCCCCGTTGCCAGATCGCAAGATCCAAGGAATGTGCAAATGATCACCCTTCCTACTTTTTATTTCTTCTAATGTATACCATCATGTTCTCCCGCCCATCGATCTCGTGTGCGATATCGTCGACAAGGGCGCGGCGCTAATGGCAGCGAATCTTTCACGAGCAGGACGGTGTCGCGCGACGTCTGCTGTGATGGACGAACCCAGAGGTTAAACTTTACCTCTCGCTGCATTGGAAACGTGTGAATTGCAAGCCTTCCCCATGGATCTCCTCTCACTGCGACGCCTATGTGCAAGGTAGAGAGGCACGCCGACATCATCGTTTCGTAGACGAGATAGGGTTCAACTGCCTACGGCATCTCCCTCAATGTGGAGCCCCCTTCTCCGTTTCCCCGTCTCCCCACGGTTGTAAGAGGTCACTAACACGGCCATGCCACGCTCCTGTCAACTGCGATGACTTCGCGTTGCTGGTCCAGCGCCATCATCTGCAGCAGTAGAGTGCGAGTGTCAGGAGGTGTCGTGCTATCGACTGGTCCAACCCATTACAAGAGGGGGCACCGTCAGCTTTCGCGGTGATGTGAGTCACTGTGTGTGGCACTATGAACCTGCACCAGCGAAATCCGACTTGAATGGACGAGGTCGGAGACACATGAGCGTGTGAACAAGGCAGTCACAAGCGCAAGCACCGTCGGCGACGCGCCTATGTCGCGCAAGCGTCCTCGTGTGGCTCCGCATACACACGCCCGGTCATCGTGTCGACGCTTGGCGCAAAGATCCTACGGATCTTCCTCGACGTTCATCCATGGATAGTGACCACACAAATCAAACATTCAAATATATTTCGACATATTTCAATGGACATGGATACATTTATCAAGATAATTTAATCATTGAGAGAAAACAACGCTTGTTTCTGTGCACAGTTTCGAGCTCTGAGGCCATTTCAAGATTTGCCATGTTCGGCCGAATTGCCCGCGGGGTGCGCAGCCATGCAATGCTCGGCACGTCCGTCACGTCGTGCGGCGTCGCTCTTGGTAGATACAACAGCCAGTCGCCAACGCTTCTTGACACGAAGAAGGTCGACGCCAGTGAATTCCTGTACGTCCCGCTGTCAAAGGACAAAACCCCTGCCGACAGCATTGAATTTGACAAGACCGCGCCCATGAAGGATCGTATGAAAGCGATGATTTTCCGTGTGCAAGACGAAATTTGCGCTGGCATGGAAGATATCGACGGTACAAAATTTCGCCAAGACGAATGGGAACGCCCTGGACACGGTGGTGGCGGGCGCAGCCGCGTGATCCAAGACGGCAACGTGTTTGAAAAAGGCGGTGTGAACGTCTCGGTGATCCACGGCGAACTTGGCAAGGCTGCGGCGACTCAAATGCGTGCCCAGGGTCGCGACCTGGCTGCGGAAAAGTCCCTTCCGTTCTTTGCATGCGGTGTCAGTCTTGTGCTTCATCCTCGCAATCCTATGGTACACAAGACACATCCTGACATGATGTGCTCAACAATATGTCATGTAGGCCCCTACCATGCATTTGAACTACCGCTACTTTGAAGTGGAAACTGGCAAGCTTGATGCTGAGGGCAAGCCGAAGAAGTTGTCATGGTTCGGTGGTGGCGCCGATTTGACCCCCGCCTACTTGTTTGAAGAAGACGCGCGCCACTTTCATGCCGTTTACAAGGTTGGCTCGTCATGAATGGATTGTTTGCTTACGCTTGAGCTAGACGGTCTTGGACAAGACCGACAAGAGCTACTACCCCAAGATGAAGGCCACGTGCGATAAATACTTCTATATTCCGCATCGACAAGAAGGTCGCGGCGTTGGCGGGATCTTCTTCGATGATATGGAAGAAAACCAAGAAGTTACGTTCCAAATGGCCCGCCAGTGCGCTGTAAGTGGACCTTGTGTGTTATTTGCATGCAAGGTCCAACCTCATTCGGTCTTTGGCAGAATGCCGCTGTTGACGCATACGGTCCGATCTTGCGCCGACGAAAGGATATGCCCTTCACGCAAGAGCAAAAGGAATGGCAGCAGATTCGCCGTGGTCGCTACGTTGAATTCAACATCATGTATGATCGAGGCACCAAGGTAAAACCACCGTCCGTTGGGATGTAATCTTGTGTGTTGAGCTGGTGTCGTAGTTTGGGTTGAACGTACCTGGATCCCGCATTGAATCGATTATGATGTCGCTGCCGTTGACCGCGCGCTGGGAATACATGCATGCCCCCAAAGCCGGATCGTGGGAAGCGCGCACGCTCGAAGTGCTCAAGAACCCTGTCGACTGGCTCGACGTCGATGCTGTGAACCTCGAAACGTTGTCGACTAAGGAGCTGCTTGCAGAAATTGCCCGTCGGAGTGAAAAACAATAAATAGTCCATGTAGAATGAATTTGGTCTTAATACCCCATCTCCTTGACAAGTGACTGGTACGAGTGGTCGTCGCCCTGCGTCCCTTTCGTCGATGGCTTCGAAGCACCTGACGAGTCCCTACGTGACGAGGAATGCCTATGGATCGAGTTCTTCGATGAGTCTTGTTTACCTGGCTTCGATCTTGTCCAGATTCAGCAACGTCACCAGGACATCGCGCTTGCTGCGAGCAACGTCGAGCTACAAAGTGCCACAAGTGGCATGACACGAAAGAACAAAACGACCGTCTGCACGTACACCAGCATCCCACACAGTGTCGCTCAACACGGAGAGAACCTGTCCGACCTAGCGACCGCAGTCGCGCTTAATTCCCTGCAGGGCTCCGGAAGCGGTACCGAATTGTCGTTGAGGACATCCTCGTGCAAAAGCAAGCGCGTGTACAGCTTCTCCGCCGTCAGCTTGCGCACCTTTTGTCGAGTCAGAACACGAACTAAGCGAGAGTCGAAGCGATGGCATGGACCTTGGGAAACCGGTGGCCAAGACATACGCAAATTCCTCGCAGGCATCGCTTCTCCACGGACGGCTCACTGGGAAGGAGCCCCACGAGCACTAGATGCGCCTCCGTCAAGCGCACGACCAACATCGCACACCGTACCTGTCAAGCCGGCGCTGATTTTATTCACATTGGACGACTTTCCGATTTCGATCCGCACTGCGTCGTACAGAGCGTTGCCAAATTGGCCGGCGCCGTCCTTGTGCAAAACGTCGAAAACCCCTTCTTCGAGGCAGTACGCGATCGTTTTCATCAGGGGGATCACGACGCGGTCGTCCTTGGTGTGCTTTTCGAACAGGGCGACGCAGCGATGGGCGACGGCACTGACCGCCTTGAAGTTGTTGAGCTTGAGCTGCGTCTTTAGCCAGCCCAAGAGGCAATTCTTGGATGCTTTCACCTACTCATGGTACGTGCAGCCAACGCGAACGAGGTTTCAACGGTCCCTACCACACTTTCGGTCAGCCCGCCCACGGACACGACAAGACCGGCGACCACAGCCTCGATATACGATGGACTGTCCAACAGCTACACAAACACGACTTGGCTCTACCACTCCACCCGCAATCGTTTGTCTTACCGCAACAACCATGGGATATGCAACGTGGGCCATGGACCAGTTCACGTCGGGCGACTGCACCACCGGCGCCAGCACAGGTCGGTCTGGAATTCCGTCGATCCAAGTCGCATTGGTGACCAATTGATGCAAAATCGTTCCTGCGACACTTCGAACACTATCCAGCTTTTCGCTCAGTTGCTTTACGAGCACAAGGCACTACAGCACAAACGTGGCATGAATGTAACGAAAACGTAATTGAGGATTCACACATAATCACGTACAAACTGCGACACGATCGCAGGAGGAACAAGCACGAGTGGCATTGCCGACGATGGTTCAATGCGGCGGTCGGCAAGGGACGGCAACCCAACCATATTTGCTTCGTCGTGCACGCGATGGTCGGGGAATTTCCCGATTCCGTGAGGAGAAAAGTAAAAGTAGCCGAGATTTGGTTTGTCGAACTGAACAGCGACGATCTTGCGCTTCAACTCGCGAGTTTCAATCACGGTCCCTGACCCAAAGCCACGAACATGCACGCGCTGCTTGGTCGGCGCGGATGCAGCGACTCCGCCGTCGTTGGCGAATCGTGTAATGACGGCCTGAAGCCCCACCATGGCTTCTTTTCGCACCCATGACCCGACGTCTCCGCGTTCATCCATGCTATAATCTTCGTTTGCGCATTTCAAAATGCTTTCCATGATGCGCGTGAGCATAGCGAGGTCGATGGCCGCGCGATTCTTCGTTGTGAAGTTCACGAGAGCTTGAATGGCGGCGACGCGAGACTCGGCATCTTGTTCATCTGGTGTGTGGTAGCTCATGACGGCAGCAAGAATCATGAGGTCCACGGCATCTTGCATGTGAGGTTGCAAGAGAGTAAACGGGGTCACGCCTGGCGAACCAAGTCACGGTCAAAATTTCGGGGGAGAGCCTTACCCAAAGCCTTGAGGAAGCCCCGACGGACAGCCACGTTCGGGTTCAACACTGCCTTGTCCTTGACGGAGGACAGGAACCGAGGGACGATCGAGTTGATGTACATGGTGTGTTCGGCGGCTTCTTGCAGCTTGCTGAGGCACCGATTCGCGAGCTCTTCGTAAGCTGCGACGGCGCAATCACGCACGACTTCGTTTGGGTTTTTGATGCATTCTAGCGACACCATCCGGCTTGGTTAGGCATCGTGTCGCTCAAGATAAGTGGAGAGGGCACCTTCGATTGTAACCAAATACTTCTTCACGATTGTAACAGACAAGGGCCACCCCAATTTGCAAATAGATTGGATCAGCGAACAGACCGCGGCACGAATCATCTCACCGCCTCGTCCCCGATACAGGCGTCGTTTATCCATTTCAATCGGGATCAATTTGATCCGACGAATGATTTCACCGTCGAAGAAGGCAGGGACACTGGCGATTTGGAGCGCAATTTCACTCACAGCCAGGGTCGCGCCATGGCGAACAATTACGTCGCTGGTGGGGGATATGCTCGCGACCAACAACGACGGCAGGATCGAAGTGATTGTGTACGACACATCCAATGGCGCCAAGAGCCCAATCGCATTGGATGACAGCACTCGAATGTTGACGTCCCAATGGAACAACTTGACCGATGCGACATGGTCCATCAGCGAGTACCGATACTCGGCGTACTTGGCAATGTGGCGACTCACGTCCACATACGCGTGCGAGACTGACGCGAGCGTAAAGTAGTCGGCTTTTGTCAACAAGTCGATCCCGTGGGGAAAGTTGGCCACGCCCTTCCAAATCGACCCAAGTTTACACATGCAACGAAATGGCACCGATCCTGCACCTGTCGTCCAACGCTTTCCTGGAACGCCGCGGCCGCCGCACGACGGCAATTCAATTCTCGATCAAATGCACACACCGTGAGCATAATGGGCGCTAGCGTGTTCTTCAAATACGGCAGAAAGAGCGCAGGGTCGTACGCGCGAGCAAACGACCAGCACTTTACAAATCCTTTAGCAACCATTTGCACAACGATTGGTCCCACTTACAGCATAACACGCCGCATCTCGAACGTGGGCGCCGATGCTATGGGCCCCGCGTCGGATATCGTACATGAGTGCGAGCCCGATCACTCGAACGGCTTCGGGAAGCCGCTCAGGCAGCAAGACACACCGTCGCGACAGTTCCGCGATGGCCAAGCTCGCTCCATGCCACGCAGCTATCATGGAGGCTGACAGATGCATCCCAAGAATCAAAAACGGTGGGCTACTGTACCATCGGATTCGTTGACCGAGAAAAGTTCAAGGACAGCCTCCACAATGTCGTCGGCAAATTCAAAAGGGAGTCGAGACGTCACTCGGCCGACGCCTTTCGCTGCAGACCACCGCACAACCGTGTCGCGGTCGCGCAGGCCGCACAGTAGGGCATCGATCACTTGCTCCAATTCTTCGGGAACTTCCATCTCGTCTACCCATGTGTATGAAATAAATCAAAGGGTATATCTTCAAGACAGTCAGACTCGTACCATCAGCGTCCACAAACTGTTGTGTGACTCCGGCGGCGTGATCCACTTGCTCTTCCTGCGTTTTCTTTGTCAAGTTCGCTTCGAGCGATCGCATCCCGCGCGAATACCGCCACGTCATGACCTACGGGACCAGTAACACTCCCCAAGTCGATCACGATCTCAACTACCTTTGGTGGCAGGTACAGCACGCCCATCCGCTGAAGTAGCTTTGTGCTCAATTTGCGATGCACCGTGCTACTGATGGCAGCGTCTGCGTCTAGCGCGCGGATGGTCTCCATGACTGCCATGACATGGCCAAAGCAGTCGCCCATCATAAGGATATACTTGTCGCGCGGAGTAAACTTGCAAATGTACGATAGGCACAGCATGATGCCTAAAAAGACGCAAGTGAGAGCGGAGGATGCACGTCGATGGTGCACCTGTGGTTTTGTACTGGAGAATACGCGTTTGGGTCGGCGTCGAGTCGCCCGTTTGGCTCGACATGCAGAAGGAATCGAGTTCGAACTTGACGTATTCGAGGAATGCCATCAAGTACTGGTCTTCCATGTCTGGACGGCTGGAAACCAGTCAGGGATGCACCCGGCCCACACAACTCGCCCTGAACGCCTACCTCAATAGTCGCGCCAAACACAACGCAGCTGCTTGTTGTGTCGGCCCGCTGTCTTGCAGATACATCTTGCACATTGCGATGATGTCCGCGACGATTGAAATGGATTCGCCGTGAGCTTCATGCCCGTCCATAGTAGAATCGATCGACTTCAAGTCGAACGGCACCAATGCCAGTATGGATAACCACAACAGCAGCACGAACCTAAGATGGAAGATACAGGAATTTATTTTGGCGCGGGATACGCGTCGTACCGGATCTCCCACGTCGTATGGTCGTCGTGATCTTGCGAATGCAGCAACAGCAGGACGGGCTCAAACTCGACCACATCGTGCGGCAGGAGCTTGACGATGGTCTTGTATCTACATGTAGGATGAGAGAAGCATGGGTCGACTGAGTGGGGGCGCATCTCCTATACCCTCGCACTTTGCATAAGAGGTATACAATATGGCAAGCGCGATGCAGCTGAGTGCGAGTGTTTGCATTCAGCACTTGAAACGGAAATGCTGTGCCTTTCAAAGGTTGACTTGCCGCCGTCATTGAAGATATCACGTCCTGAATGCGCCGCACCACGGGTGTCACCATGTCGCGAAGAATGGGGTCGAGCAATTGGCCTTGCTCTTGAAATGGATCGATCTAATGTTTCAACTCTGTGAGCATCTGACACACACACAATTCATCGCACTGACCAGAGCCTGGAAATTCTCCATCACGGCTTCCGTGAGGTCACCGCCCGACTGGAGCAACGCCACCAGTCTCGTGTCTGCCTGTAGGGACTCATTCACTGCGCCACCTTCGTCTTGATCCGTGGGTTCTCTCTCATCTCGTGGTGGGTCGTCCATCATGGTCGGCTTGTCCTGGTGTATCCAAAACAAAAACTCGCATATTCGATAGCGCATGTATAACGTTTGACAGGTTTCTCGTTTCTGCATTTGGGACACAGCATGGCGAATGGTATGTGGACGCGCATGGGGGCGTCTGGGTCGTCCGTGGTGATTGCCCCAAAGACGATAACGAAGGAAATGGAGGAGAGAATTCGAGTAAGCATAGAGACGTTCATGAAGAAGGCTAAACCAGACGAGGCCAAAAGCCTCAAGCTGGTTCGGCAGCATGTCGAAAGGGCACTGTCGCTGAGCTTGACAAATCACAAGGACGTCCTGAAGCGCCTGATGCATATCATTTTGCAGCGCGGACCAGCACCCGCACAACCCGAAGTCCCTGTCCGTCCAGAGATCACAGTCGCCAAAACAAAATCAACGTGGTGGAAGCAAGTCGAGCGGCGCGAGGCCATGCTGATGGGATGTCACCGGTTGTTTCAGTTTGCCGTGGACCATCCCGAATGCAGTGTGGACGTGATCCAGTCCTTGTCCGACTTGTCCACTGTCGTGAACGACCGAGAACTGTATCAACTGCTCAACGTGTACGCCCGCCAATTGGGAAGCGTGTTTGTTGGTCACGACATGGTCCCAGAGTGGACACAGCACTCGCAGCCATCTCCCCTACAAGTATTGGATTGCATCGCGTCCGTGTACACGTTGGAGCGCATTGGCGTGCAGCATTCTCGCAGTGGCGAGTTGCGAGCTTTCCTAGACACCACGTCGTTGTATTCCGCAGAGGTTTGCGAAGGCCCCCGCCGTCGGTCGCGATTCAGCCATGTCTGGATAGGACTACTTTGGGTGGAATCCTGCGCTCGCGTGCCCATCCACCGATCCCGACCAAACGGCGTTCCTAAAGATGTCCAACGCGCTGACGCTGCTGTCGTATGCCCACGCCCTGGACGTGTCGCTCGGGTGCACGTATGCTTCGGTACAGCCCGCGCTGCTCCAATATCGATGCTTATGTTTTGCGATGCAGGTCCTGCGCTGGCTGTCGTCCTTCTACCCGTACCAAGGACCGTCCGCGATGGACGAAGTCGAGTACATGGACCAGTGCTACCTTGTCTGTCGGGTCATTTTGACTTTAACGAACTGGGGGGCGTTCGACATTGCTGTGGTTTGTATACGGCTCTTGGTTGTTTGTGTCTCGAATGCTGTGTGATGGTGCGGCGGTAGGATCTCATGCCGAACGAATTTTACTTTCTCCAAGCCCATCTGGACGTTCAGATTGGCCGTGGCGACTGCCATCTCATCGGCGAGTTCACAAGGGTGCGTACCAACGTTCCTTCTATGCTGAGCCATCCGTCAGCTGACGAGACGATGCGTAGGCATTGAAATGCTTTGGGTCGAGCGTCGATCGCGGGGTGGCATTTGCGCTCTGCTATCAGCACTCATTCGTCCAACTTGAGGCAGAATCTGTCGATGAAGTCGTTCACAAAGCGACGGTGGCGCTATTTGCGCTCAACGAGCCTCGATTCCACGGGTATGCCCCAGCGATTCCAGACGCCCAGGTGCTTGCGATCCTGCAGCGCAATGCGTCCACCGAACAACAACGGGTAGGTGCATGCAGGCACATATCGTTTCTCGGCAAATTCATCCTCAAATGGATGCTGTAGCGCGCGGAAAACACTGCTACGTTCGAGTCGGATTACAAGCGAAGCCAAATGAAGCAATCCTTGCGGAAACTCTTGGACAAGGCCGCAACGATGGACGTGAAACTGGTGCGTTTCGGCCGTACGATGGGCTAGTGAAGCGAACATGGCGTAGATACCACTCGACGATAACCTCCAGCGCATCCAACAGAAGCTAGAAAGCACGACAGATGTGAAGACGCTCGACGCGAAGCTCGCGATTTCGATGCTCCAATACCTCAACAAGATGACGCTCACGATGGAGGCACTCAAAGAGACCGGCCTCGGCAAAAGCGTCAACAAGCTCAGAAAGCACCCAGCCGAAGAGGTTGCCGCGGCATCCCAAGCGCTCGTGGCGAAATGGAAAAAGGAAATGCTGGGTTAAGTGGCTGATGATGCCTTACTCAGTTGTCGTTAAATGCCATGACTACCTACGCGCAACGCTGACCAACTGCATGCCACGCCAAAGGATGAGTGGTCCACATCATGGACTGATACAAGTGCTGTCCCAGCGCGACATACCGCGCTATCGCAACCTCTTCGACGGCCGGACGCCTGTCAAACTCGTATTCTTGCTGAAGCTCATTTCCAGGCAATTGGGGACGCTCTGCGAGCAACGCCTGGAGGTCGAATGCAATCGGAGAGGAGCGATTCGATGTCTCATTCGGCAAGGGTACATCCAGTACGCTCAACGCATACTTCAATTGACTGCGGAGGACGTTGAGTCGTAAGAATGGATCGAGGAAACTCAGCCGCTGGAGAACTCGAGGGAGTAGTGGGATCTTGGCAGGGAGGAGTGGAAGTTGAAGGAAACGGGGGGTAGTGTTGTCAAATTCAACGTTTGTCGCGACCGCAGGACGAACCGCGCGAGGAACGACTCGGCGGATCACTCGAGCTAGCATCCTTCTTGCTCTCCCTCACCCCGACCACTCCCAGCACCTTCGAAGTCATGTTCTCCGACAAACATTATCCCTCGAAACCACACTCACTCACGCTCTTCATTTATAAGGAGGTTCAGTAATTGCACCTTCATTTATCTGAACAGCATTCATACTAGTAATCGGAAAGAATGCTTCATTTATGCACATTTGCATTGTCAATTTCAGTTTTTCATACAAAACCCCTCACCAACCAAATTAAACTATTCCAGTCTATTCCAGTTTCCACCACTTGAGATGTGTATGAACAAGTGGAAGAATTTGAGTGGAATATATTGAACGACCTCCTGATGTGCCAAGCGATCCAACCTCCCAAAAGTTTGGTGGCCCCATCTCCACTCGCACGCTTCGCCCATCGCCATGGATAAGGTCCTCGAAGAAACTTCCGCTGTAGCCACGACTGTGCTCGCAACTATCCCGCAGCGCATGGTTCGCGTGTCCACCCTTCTTGCATCAGAATTCCCCGTGACTACGCCGTCGCAGTTGACCGAGATGTTCACGCCACTGGTGTCGGCGAACGCGTCGTCGAATCCACATTTGGGCCGGTTGGTTACGTTGGTGCTGGACGAAATTCACATTGCCATCCACGAGTTACAGCGGCTCGAACGGTGGATTCAACTGCTGACGCCTCGTGTTGCCGACGGCAACAACTTTGGCGTGGAAGTGCAGAAATCTGTCCAACTCCAGATCAGTGCGAGCCGCACTGCTCTGCAAAAGTCGTGGGATGCCATGACCGACTACTACTGGCAGCGCGCCACGGCGTACGAGAAGTTTGCTGTCAAGGTGTCGAAAGAGCACAAAAAGTCTTCATCTCAGTCGAAAGAAGAAGGTGGCAACGATGGCGCTGTCGACAAGAAATCGCAGGCTGAATCTGAAGATGAAATCACGTCAGCCCCTAGCGTGATCCCCGATCTCCTCGTGTATGTCGTCGCCGTGGACGTCAAGTGGTACTTTAACCTGCAGAGAACGCTCGAAAGCATCGGGGACCACTACGCTTTCACGCTTGATGCGGTCGAGAAGAACAGTGCCAAGATCAAACTGCCTCGTGGCCACAGCGAGCGCGGCATGAACATGTTTTAATCGGTGGTGACGTCACGTGGCGCCTTAGAGTTTCAGTGAACCAGCCATCCCTCCATCGACACCACAAAAACCTTTAGCTAACCCAAAAAACACCGCCCATGACAGCAGGTCGATTGCATTCTCTTCACCATGCCGCACTCTTTCGCCACAAACTCTGTCATGTCATGATGCGTTACGTTTGTTGCGAGTCGGGGGACCGTTTCGTGTGCCCTTGACATCGGTTACATCAAGCGCGACATCATGTCGGCGGGCGGCGGGAATCCCGTGTCGATGCAGTGGAAGTACCCACCGGACCTCCTCTTCAACGACGAGAGTTTGCTGGACATCATTTTGACGCTGCGGACGAAGATCGAAGTCCTTGAGAAGAACGAGATGGGGTCGGGCGAGATTCCCCAGTGGCTTACTGACGCCATGCAAAACATCGCCAACAACTCGGAAGCGATGGTCGAGTGCCAGAGTCTGAAGGACCAGCTCAAGTATATGAAGCAGAACATTGACGCGCTGCAAAAGGACATTGTGATCTTGCGTCGCGATGTCGTGGCGGCCAAGACGTTGTCGAAACGCCGAGGCGGGAATTCCCGCGCGGGCGATGACGAGCCCGAACGTGGCGAGCAATCTTCTCGGCGAGGTTCTGCTCTGTCAGCAGAGATTCGACGGGGGGTCACGATCAACGGGATCAGCTCAACTGGCCATGGAGGGGAAACACCCAGCGTCGGCGCCGTGCCGTCGATCGTTAGCAGTGGTGACGTGAGCCAGCCCAGCACAAGCCGCCAGCCATTGAATGTTGCAGAAGAGGCGATGAAGTTAACGGTGGCATTGCAAGGACCGGCGGACGGCGGCCAAGCGATCTCGTCAGCCGCCATGGAGCAGCTTCTCGAGCCCGTTGTGCACAGCATCGAGCGACAGAAGGAAGAGTTTGCCGTCATGCGGGAGAACTCTCAAGCTGCAAAAGACAGCGTGATGCGGCTGCAAGCGGAAATGAAACGCCGAGATGCGTTGATTCAAGCACGCAACTCCAAGCACGAAGCGAGTGTCAAGATCCTCATGGACAAGCTCAACCACGACTTGAGGGCTTGCGTCACACACAACGAAATGATCGGGTTCGAGCAGAAAATGATTGTTGTGCAAAAACAAGAATTGAGCCGGCTCAACGACGAATTCAGCGCCCTCTTCGGTCGCATCCAAGAGGACTTGTACATGGTAATGCCATGCCCAGCGCTCTCGCGCCTGACGGACGGGTGCGATAGGTGAGGAGCTCGCAGGAAGACATCAACAGTGCCCAGGCGGAAGCAGTGCAGACAAACCAGAGTAAAATTCAAGTGCTTAATGAACGGCTCGACGAATGCCAACGGAACCAGGTGAGCTGCCAAGGGGAATCTTCTAGTCACTCGCTTATCTCGTGGGAGGGGGGGTAGGATCGATTTGCCCGCAGTACGGAAGAACTCAAACGAAACATTCAAACCGAGCATCAGCAGATTCAAACACTTGGGACGCAGAGTGGCGTGATGAAAGACAAATGTAACGTGCCCATTTGATCGTCGTAGCGGCACCTGACCGCATACGTATGCTGCTTGCTGCCTCTGTAGTGCAAGCCCTGGCCGAAAAACAAGCGAAAACCGAAGTCTTTTGCTCCGATATGTCGCAAGCGCTGGAGAATGTCAACACGAGCAAGGTCAAATCTGACGAAAACCTCAAGCTCGTGATCCACCAGCGCGCCGAGTCATTGTACAACGGTAATCGCATTGAAATCCTGCATAAAGGAACGGGAAGGCGAACGCGTGCGTAGAAATCAAGCGCATCGATGATGTGCTCGAGTCGTGCTCGTTGGCTACCATGGCCGACGACATGAAGTCGTGCACAGACAGGCTAACTGTGGTCGGCACGCTCGCGGACGATAACAAGAAACGCATTGCAGCGGCCGAGCAACAAATCATCGACCACGAAACCATCAACAACACCAACTTCACCAATATTTACGAAGGCATGGAGAAGGCGCGCAAGGAAGCGACGGACGCGCTGCGGCGGGAAACGACGCGCCTCGGGACCAAATTGGTCGAGCATGGCGACGTCCAAGCACAGCTTGGTAAAATAATCACAGACGTCAAGACCGACACCGAACGCAATTTTGCTGCGATGCGCACCAAACACGAAACGCACGAACTGGAGACGGACGCAATGCGGGTCAACACGGAGGCGGCGCTACAGAACCTCAAGGAAAAGATATTCTTCTGCGAAGAGGCCAATTTGGCATTGCGTGCCGCCACGGACACGATGCAGCTTGAAACAAAAAGGTGCGTAGAACGAACTGGACACTGAAGTTGCTCAGACTTCTGCTGACGATGGCGGCACAGTGCGTTTGCTTCGATCAACACGGAGAGCAAGAGCATGCACACGATCCTGGATTCGATGAACTTGACGTTCGATGACTTGGGGACCAAGCAAACCGTGATTGAAAAGCAACTCGATGCCCTCCAGCGTACAATTGCCTTGATCGTATAAAACCCCTGATATGCCCACCATAGACGACTTCCGATGTGAAATTACCGTGACGACGGCAAAACTGAGCGAAGCCGTGGCCAAGGAAGGCCAACGCACCGAAGCGCTGTATGCTGCATTTGCAGAAAAACAAGCGAAATTCGCCGAAATCGTGGCCAAGTCGAGCACGCGTAACATGCCGATCGCCACTGTCAACAAAGAGCTCGACAAACTCTGCGACGCCTTCGTGAACGAGTGCTGGAAATTTGAGATTTCCCCGCGGCAGGAAGGCCAGGTGCGGCTTCCCGCTACGTGTCGGAGTTGACTCACCGTGGGCATTAGACTGGGCCTCCAGGCCGCAGCGACAACAACGGATCGTCACGAAAGCAATTTTCGGAACGGCAGCAAGTGTGGGTCGTCAAGAACTGCCAGTTCTTCGCAGATCTGATCTGCGCCAAGGCCGAGTACGACATCATGAGGACCTACTCGAACAAAGATGTACATGAACAACACGCCCTCTTGCATCTCACCCAGGAGTGGCATCCTGATAGACGAAGACTCAAAGCTCGCTAGAGACCAAGATGATCCGGGCACAAGCGGAGATCCTAGAGAATCTCCACCTTCGCATCGAAGCCAAGATCTCAAACAACAAAAACTGCGGCGAGCAGTTCGACCGCAGCACGATCGAGCGGCGTGAAGTCTTTGTTGAAACCGTACGCGGATGCATGTCGCAGTGCTCACAACTTGATGTCGACCGACTGGGGTAGATTCATAATCTCACGGACGGCGCTTTGGCTCGCCGAACGCTCATGGGTGGCGGCGGGGTGTGCTCGGACGACAGTGCGGCAGGACGTGGCAGTATCATGTCGTTGGAGGGTGGCTATACAACATGTTTGGCACGAGCTCACGAGCCAAGTGTAGGGAGCTTGAGTTGCATGGAGAGTGTCCGACTTCAAAGCAGTGGTCGTCCCTCCACGAATGGGTTTGAAAGCCCTAGTACTCGCGCGATGAAGCGCATGTCGGACGTGGGGACTCGACCAGACACTACGACCGGGGGGGGCTCGGGGCCAACTGGCCGACGCATGATCCAGTCGCCGCATGCGAATTCCCCATTTGTCTTTCGTGGCGGATTCCGCATTCCTCATCGCAGCACCGGGTTGAATGCTGTCTCGGACGCGTACAGGTATCCATCTTCGTAAAGGTTGCTCGTAGACAACTGAATTGGGTGATGCCAGGGAATTGCATGCCGACGATGAACATTCCACCGAAGAATTTGAAGCGGAAGACGAAGGAATTCACTGTGAACTCAGCATGACGCCGTCTGTGTCGTTGCCAGCGTTGTAGGGCAACGAGAAATTGGAATAGAAGAACTGGGTTGAACAAGTTTCATCTGATGGTCTTACGCCGACAACTTTTCCGCACGACGGAACAACGTGTCCACGATGTGGCCGACGTTCTCGATGACGCCCAGCCCTGCCTTGTACGTTTTCTATAATGACAAATAATTCAGTCCATTCTTGGGGTTGTCCCGTAGCAAAACGTACGTCTTCGCTAGGGTTCTCGTACACAATCAATTGTCCCCGCCCTTGGTCCAAGATGCCATGAAACTTGTGGTCGAGAATCATTTGCGACAATCTAGTTCACACGTCAGATACCCATCCAAACACATTCGATTGGTATTCACGCACTTGGTTTCGATTTGAGCCAGCGGAAGCTTGATCAATTTAGCTACGTGATCGATTTCAACACACGAGTACGGCTGGATGATCTTGATCAAGTTGGACTCAAGCAACGTTTCGTACAAAAGCCCCAAGTGGTGCTTGATGAGAGGGTCGGCCACCAATTCTACACCCACACGCGTTAGAATCGACTTCGACAAGGTGGCAAAACTTACGCGCCGCGTACGTGGTCGTGGCTTGCTGAAAAAGGTCAAGCGACCGTTGATCGTGCGCCTTTGCAACAGCCTTGAGCGCTTCAATGTCGATGCCCGAAAACTTGATGGCATTCTTTGTGCTCACAATCGCAGGGACATCCGACGACTGCCCGTTCGCGACCTTGCAGAGCAGCATGTACTTAAGGCACGCCAATGCTTCTCCTTGGTCAAGTGGCACCAACGCTTCAAACGCTTCGAAAAAGTACGAGTATGCTGTCTTGTAGTCGCGCTCTTCTGCGTGCAAGATGCCAGACATGTGGTCAATCGTGGCTTGGGTGCGCGGGATGATGTAAATCGTGTTGGCGATGGACCGCGCCGCCGTTAGTGACGCCTTCGCTTTTGGGACGTTTCGCAACGCATGGTACAACTTCGACTCGACGAGGTGAATATCAACGAGAAGGGGCTTGTCATCGAGCTTTTTAATTTCACGAAGAAGTTCCGTGATCAGGTCGAGGGCGGCTTGGAACTTTTGTTGCTCAAACAAACTACCGAAACCATGTGAGTGAGTTGCAGGTCGAACAGTATGGACATATCGAAAGACGGTACATGGAAGCCAGGCGGGCCTGAATGCGTTGGCGAAGGAAGGTGTGCTTTTCAAGGTTGCACCACGCAATCGAATCGTAACACAAGTCGGCTTGGAACTGCAATGCCATGGTAGCATCCAGAACTTTCACCTTGGACACCATGTCAATGACCGTTCGAACTACACAAGCATGCATGAAATTCACGTCGAATATAGGCGAGGACTCCCACCGATTTTTCCCGTTTTCGCCTTGGGGATCGTCGCAAAGAATGGACGGACGTTTTGGAGAAGAGCCGCCAACTCTTTTTCTCGCCTAAGTGTCGGAGCCTTGAGTCAACCTTCATTTGCGCGAATTGGCGCACCCGTGGCGGATGTAGAGCTGTCCAAGCTTATAAATCGATAGTTCCTTCACCTTGTGCACAACTTCCAAGCTTTCATCGGCCCCATCTGCACATGAACACGTCAAGCTTCACGGCACGAATACGATCATTCGTACGGTAGGCCAAGATCTTCTGGAAGGCAGCAATCGAGCGCTCAGGCAAAGCGCGTCCTTCTTCAATTTCCTCTTCCGCCGTGTCAAAGTCCTCCTGGAGCTTGTGCTTTTGCGTGTGTTCTAGCACATCCATGTCATGGGAGCCCCCGTCTGCCATCGTAGCCTCAGGATAGCAAAGCAATCGACTCTTGGCAATTCCGAAGATTTATCCGCATAAGCTTACATTAACCGGATGCAATGCATTGATCAATTGGCCAGATTTTTTCGATTTTAACCAATCCTGATCAAATATTTCGACTTGATTTGGCGCGAAGTTGAAAACATTTTTGAAGACTTTGAAATGGCACGGCAGAGTTGAATTCAATTTGCACCACCGCCAGCGTCCGAGCACGCCATGGAGCGCTACCAGAAGATTGAGAAGAACGGAACGATCGGAGAGGGTACGTATGGGGTTGTTTACAAGGCGAAGGATCTCAAGACCGGCCAAATTGTCGCGCTGAAGCGCATCCGACTCGAAGTCGAAGACGAGGGAATCCCGTCGACTGCCCTCCGAGAAATTTCCATCCTGCGTGAACTTGAGCATCCCAACATTGTTCGGTACAAACCTTGTGGTTGCGGCACGACAGATTCACAGGTGTGCTCCTAGACTACTCAACTGCCTCCAGGACAGCGGGAAACTCTACTTGGTCTTTGAGTTTGTTGACCGCGACTTGAAGCGCCACATGGATAAAACTCTCGGGACTGTCGATCCCATGGTCATCAAGGTACATTTTTCGAACTTCATCCCCTTGTAGATGATTTTGTCTGAGCGTCATCCATTATAGGCATACATGTATCAACTGCTGAAAGGCTTGGCGTTCTGTCATTCCCGCGGTGTTATGCACAGGTACAAATATTCAATCGGATTTCACTTGAATAATTTTGAGCTAAAGACCAAATGTAGAGACTTGAAACCTCAAAATCTACTGGTGAGCGAGTCAGGGACACTGAAGATCGCAGATTTTGGCCTTGCTCGGGCGTTCTCGATGCCTACGAGAAAGTACACGCACGAAGTTGTGACGCTGTGGTACCGAGCTCCAGAAATCTTGTTGGGCCAAGAGGTGTACTCACCACCCGTCGACATTTGGTCATGCGGGGTTATTTTTGCCGAGATGGTCAAGAAGAAGCCCATTTTTCCAGGTGATTCTGAGATCGACCAGCTCTACCGCATCTTCCGGCTTCTGGGGACGCCTGACGAAAGCGTTTGGCCTGGAATCTCTGGTCTTCGCGACTACGCCTCCACGTTTCCCAAGTGGCGTCCACAAAACCTCGAAGACATATTCAAGCCCAAACTGGACTCGGACGGTTTGGACTTGCTAAAGGTACACTCTGCTCTCAATGTTTCGCAAAAAGTTACGAGTCGTGCCTTGTAGAAAATGCTGCAATATTCTCCATCGGAGCGAATCACAGCTAAAGACGCCACGCGCCATCCTTACTTCAACGACTTGCCTGCCGAATATATTTAGCCCTATCTGGTTACTTGTGGTGTCTGGCCCTCCTCTAGTGAGGAAAATGCTGAACCCTTACGAGTTGATTCAATACACGGACCCTTGGTGACAGTGCTTTGCAGGACTCATGCAATGGAGATTCCAACTCCTCCCACTCAACTTTTATTTTTGTGTTTTTATAACTTAGACATTGTGGGGTCGAAACCGGGGCAAACACTCCCCAGCGGACAAATAGTACAGTTTTTCGACGCATCGGGTTGCCCCTCGCGTGATGCGGAAGAGCAGGAACACAAGAGCACCGAAGAAACGGATGATGTTGACGGTCGCGACAGTGAACGAGAGGTACTTGAGGTAACACGAGCATGAGATGGACGACGTCGCCACGTACAGCCACGCGCCGTTTGAAAGGAGCCATGTAAGGAGGAGCACCGATCGGAACACGCGAAAGCTGCTGTCCACGTCTTCGTGCTCGGCAGCAACAGATTGCTATGATGCAGTGAGCAAAACAAGGTTTGACACGATTAGGTTACTTTGTGCTTGTCGGCTTCCATAGTCACGTCGAGGTTGGCGGTGTTCAATTGCAACGCCACTATATGTTTGATACTGGTTCCGCCAGTGAATCCACCTAGGCACGTTCAATTGTTACGAGACTTGTCGTATGATGGCGGTGGCACGCACCCGAGATTTTGCTGCTGGAGTCGATGCCTTTCGTGCCCCAACTCAAGTCGTGCAGGTTGCTGTAGGCGTAAATACCCAAGATGTTCTACCCACCAACAGTGTTTGAACGAGAGCAGGCACGAGATGGACGTACGACAAAGGTAGGTAGCATGAAGTAGTACTGAAGAGTGCTGGCCAAAATACTGAACTCGCCGTGCGAAAAGGCCGAGAGGAATACGAGGCCGATCGAGGACACGGCCCCGGCGGGCAACTCCCAGTCAGCCACGGAGCACGACACCAGATCGGGTCGAATATCCATGAAGTGCACTTGTCCAGTCAAGGCATACAGCGATATCGCAGTGGCCTACGTCCTTGTCAGTCAAATGGCATCCGCGCGAACACTAACCCCGAGCATAATGAGGCCCATGATGTACGAACTGGCTCGGTAGAACCCCGCCGTGCGTCTCCCAGGTTTGTTGCCTACATCCACCGTCGTTAGCACGTGCATCAACCGACCGCATCCATCGTACCGAGAGCAAACACGATGAGGGACCCGACCAAAACAAAGTAGACGGTCAAAGTCACGCGGAGCAGGACTGGCGAACGGTAGAACAACGCCAGTGACAAGATGTAGTAGAACGCAAGGAAGAGGTTGCTGAGTAGGAACCAATTGAGGACGTTCAGGAGCGCCATGTACGTGAATTGCAACGTAAAGATGCACTTGCGAGGAATGCTGTGGGACGTGTCCCGCCACACGCGACCAAAGTTCCAAATTGCAAACAGACCGGCGAAAAATGACCCGTTGAGCCAGCGCCGCCGCTGTTTGATCAAGTCCACAAGTGTCTACAAAAGCGGACTATTCACGCCGTGTGAGCGTTGAGTGGCGTATAGGGTACCTCGGGGACGTCCGTCGACGCAATCGCGTCTTTGACGTAGTGCATCGTCCATTTGCAATCTTTTCGGGCGAGAATTTCAAAGCACAGAATGCGGTCTTCCGCCAAGTACATGTTTCCCACAAACAACCTACGCCAGGACGTGAGCCCATGTATGACGATAAAAAGGCGAACCCGAGTTCTTTCTTGGACGACGTGAGGCTCTTAAAATACTCGACCAGCGGTCCTTCCCCGTCGATAGCACGAATTGCTTCGTAGCGGTAGGCCGAAAACGCCCCGGGCAAAACTCCGATAAACCCAAACACGGATTGCAGCGACGCGTCCATGATGTTGGCGATTTTGTACTCGAAGTGCTGCGCCGCAATGACAGGGTTAAGAAACTGCGGCCTGTCAACGGCGATTTCGCCAGCGACACCACCAATTTGAGGGTTCCGTTCCATGCTTCGAATGAGGCGGTAGACGGAGGTTTCCGCAGGAATCGTGCCGACATCGACGAGGACCGTGTACTTCGGTTGGAGTTGTTCGCAGAAACCGTTGAAGAACCACAGGTGCGAGTGTAGCTTGCCGTTGTTGCTTTCTTTCAACGCAAAAATGACTTGAATCGGAGGGTAAAACATCCCGTCCGTGGCCGTAGGCAATTGCACCGTCGCTTCGAACAGGTGAACTTCGGCGGCAATGCCCATCGAGATTTGAACAAGTGTCGCCTTGTCGAATAGACCGAGCTTGGCTAAGTACGTGAGCATGGACGGGTTGATTTTGCTACGTCCGTCGGCCACGATCGAAATCACAACGTGCTGCCAGTAGTCGTACCCGTGCTGTTCGCACATGTACGCAATTCCATTGGCGAGTCCTCGGAGAGTGCTGTCGAGTTGGGACGAGGGCTCGTTGTACATGGTGATCGTGATGAAAACCTTCACGTCCTTGCCCAACTCCTTGACGCGCAATGTGTAGCCGTCGTGGGTAAACTTGATCGGGTCTCGGGTCCGCACGGCAGTGTAGCGCATGTCTGTGAACTCGGGACTGGTGCGGAACGGAGGCAGGTGACGTCGACTGTCCCATGACTGTTGGACGAGTGGCAGCGACACGGTTGCAATTGGCGCCATTTCCTCGATTTGTTTGGCGTAGCCATAGGCAAGCTGGAGGTAATAATCGAGTTTTTCGGCGCGTTTGATAAGTTCGGAAGCACTCAGCTGCTGCTTTGCTCGCGGGGTGAGGTCGCCGTTGAACGTAACGTACGACGACACGATCTTTTCCGCCGTGCGCTGGCCTCCGAGCATGACAGTGGATTTTTGGGCCTTGGTTCGCGCGAGGAGTTTGGTCTTGGCGTGCGCCGGACACACGGCCCCCGTCGCCTTGTTGACTTGCTTGGTTGGTATCAGGAGCTGCATCCTTCAATATGCATCCACGAAATCGCAAAGTGCCGACGTCGCAGTGCACCACCAATCAATCTGTGGCGGCTCGCCTCCTCTTCGAAGTCCCAGCAGTCAACAAAATTTACTGTAGATCGCTTGTCGAAGCACTCTCTCGGGTCTTGGAGATGTCCATTGAAAAAAGCGCCTTTTTTCTCCTGTTACTGTGTAGAGCTCCCGTCCTGTTTGATACAAATCACGACATTAAGAGTGATTGGCGAATAAAAGGTCACAGTCTATTTTTTGCCCCTCTCAATCCACCGATTGAAAGAGCGGCGTACCACAAAAGGTGATAGAGCGTCTACCACGTCTTCACGCGTTGCATCATTTCATACCACAGACGAGGAAGTAAGGGAGTTCGTCGCGGACGTAGCGCTTTCACTCAGGGCACGGTATCGAGGCTCGACACGTGGTGTAGAAAAATATTTTGACCGCGATGGGTTTGTCATATCACACTCGTGTCGGAGTATCCGGAGGTGGCCCGTTTATTAATCCGGATAGCATCCCGTTTATTAATCCGGATAGCATCAACTTTTGCGGATCGCTCATTATCCGGATAAAGTACGTACGGATAAGGTGGGGTCGAAAAATCTTAAGAATTGGAGTGAAAATCGGCGACAAGTGGCAATGGCGTCGTGGATTAGTGCGTGGGTAAGCGGCAATGGCGCGCCAAACGACGACGAGGGCAAGGATGACAGCGCCCCCGTGAATCAACCTTCCGCAGAAGAAGTGCGTCAAAAGAGATTGGAGAGATTGGCTGCCTTGGAAGCGGCTGCTGCGACTGCAGCCGCTGCAACTTCCGCCACGATTCCAGCCCCCATTCAACCACCAGCAACTGCATCAAGCATCCAGAGTACACCAAATGAAGGCATCAAGCGGTCAGTAGTACCTCTACAGTCGCTTCCTGTGGAGCCTTTATCGTCGACACCCCTCTCAAAACGAAAATCGGCTACCCGGCGCGATCCGTTGCACAACGCACTCCAACAAATCTTGGGCGTAACCTTGACTGAATCCCACGCAAGCCCTCACCTCGTGTACGTTGCCATCGACAACGACACAATCAACGCCGACAATTTGAGCGAAGTGTTGTACTCGCGCTTGCTTGTGGAAGATCCAGCGTACAGCTCGACGCTTGAATACTTGTTTGCAGTTTACCAGCGCGTGCGCAAGGAGACGTCTGGGCTGAACGACGCCGATCTCGTTGTGGTTAAGTCATGCCAAGAGGCCACTCGTTGCTCACTGTGCACGTGCTTTGGTTGTAGGTATTGTCTGTCCAAGAGCAGTGCGTCAACTACAGTGTCACGTGCCTTCTCGAGCCCGAAATGTTCCCGTCCAGATTGACTCCTCTCGAAGCGTTTGACGCGTTAGTGCGCAATCCCAATGCGAGCACACCGTCCTTCTTGGACGCTCTGGCCCTCGGAATTGAAGCGCAAGGGGGAGTCGCCGCACTTGGCCGAGTCGGTGGCCCCATTCTTCAAAAGCTCGTGTCTGAGGTGTTTCTGGGATCGCAGTCGATATTAGCTGTTGAGACTTGGGCCCCCGGAATTCAAACGATTGGGTCCCTCGTGCGTATCAAAGGGTTCGCCACCGTTTTTACCAACATGCCCGGATTCCTGCTGACGCCTCCGTTGAATGGCCGCCGGCTTCAAGATGCGACGGCACTGGGCATCTTGCTTCGCTTTAGCAGCGACGCGCCAGACCCGGCGATCAAGGATATGTTTGCAAACATCACGAAACGGTAAGGCAGGCCCGCGTTGCAATTTATGGCACTTACACCTGATGGTCTTCCAGCTCTCGCGTGGATGTGAACGAGTCTGTGGACCGCCTCCGATCGAACATCTCGTTGGTGCAAAACTTGGTCACCGACATTTTTCGCTCGTTGCTTAGAGGCGGCGCGACTTCGAAAGACCGGACGCTGCAATGGTGCGTCGTCATCGCCGTGATGAGATCCATCAAGGTATAATTCGACTCTTTGCTGTAGGCTGGAACAAGCTCTCGTTGTCAACGTTGAAGCCGCCAAGGAAAACCCAAACCTGGCTCTAGTATCCACGGCGGGCATGCTCATCAACCTGAACGTGGTGTTGCTCCGTCTATGCGGTCCCTTCTTTCCACCATCAACAAAGCACTCGTTGATCGATGCGACGTTTTGGAACATTTGGCCGAACCCCCTCTTTCCCGAAGACGCGACGAAACTGGTGGCCTTGGCAGCTCAGTCGTCGCAGACGACCTCAGCAACGTTTCCGTCATTTAACTTTATCACGCAGTGCTTCTTCCTTACCGCACGCGCTGTCCACTTGGGCACTGTCTCGACGATCGGCAAGTACATGCGGCTCATGCGGCAGCTCTCGTATATGCAGAATCACATGAATGACCAGTCCGATCCTCGCATGCGCGCACAATTCGAAATGCTCGCGGCGTCCAAGATGATTATTGATGCCAAACTCCTCCATCCAGAACTGCTGCACGAATTGATTCGTTTTGCCCTTTTGTCTGCCAACGTAACGTGCCGCATGTGTCTCGCTTCAGATGGCAAGCCGCTTGCGACAACGGGATTCGATCTTCCCTTGCCCACGGCCCCCGACGGTGTGTGGCCCCGCTCGCTTCGTTTGCATGATTGACGTTTATGTGTCCAGCGCTCCTTCTGCCGTTCGTTCCGGAACACATCGTCGAAGATATTATCGGCATTGTTCTGTTTGTCGCGCGGTTTGCGCCAGACGAACTCAAATCGTTTGCATTTGACGACTTTTTGACGATGACGCTCATCTTTTTGTCGTCACCGCAAATGATCCGCAGTCCCCATTTGCGGGCGAAGATGAGTGAGTGTTTGTATGAACTGTGCCTTCCGTCGCATGAGTCAGAGGACCGACCGACAGCGTCCATTCCCTCAGCAGTCGCGTCCCTCGTTAAAAGCAAATTGGCGCAGCAGCATCTCGCTCCGTGCCTCCTCGCGCTTTACGGTGATGTGGAGCAAACTGGATTTTACGAAAAGCTTGAGCACAGGTATTTCCTCCGCCAAGCCTAGTTGAAGCAGTGTCTAAGTGCATACCGTGGATTCTTAGGTACAACATTGCGTGCTTGCTTAAGTATTTGTGGAAGTTGCCAGACCACAAAGCCGCGTTCGTCATGATCAGCCAGAATCAAACGGCGTTCGTAAAGTTTGCCCATGGCCTCATGAACCACATTAACTCGCTCTTGACGGACGCTCTCACCAACTTACCAGAAATTAAATCGCTGCAGGTAAGCTGATGGAGTTCGACACCAAGATGCGAAAAAGCAACGCGTCTCTTTCCAGGAGGAAGCTCAGAGCCCCCAATGGCTGAGCTTGGACGAAGCATTGCGAGAACAAAAACAGAGCCTGTTGGCTGAGAAGGAGCGCACGGTCACGTCGAGTTTGCAGCTGGCCAACGAAACAATTCACATGATGTCGTATCTCACGTCGGAAATCCGAGCGCCATTCTTGACACCCGAGCTGGAAGACCGACTGGTTGGCATGCTGAACAGCGTGCTGGTTAAACTTGCCGGGCCACGCGGATTGGATCTTAAGGTGCTGTGCATGTGCTGCGTTGAATCACCCGGAAACCCACGTTTCAGAGGGAAATTTGTAGGTGACCAACCCGGAAATGTACAAATTTCGCCCCAAGGTGATGCTGCGAGAGATTGTCGGCACGATTTTGCACTTTAGCCAGTACGACAGCTTTCAGCACGCGGTCGCATCGAATGGTCTGTATGACCCAACGGTGTACCGCAAGTGCACGGGGATTTTGCAGCGCACGCAACTCGTGGACGCGGCGAGTGTGGCAACGTTCGACGCTTTTGCGCAAAAGGTCGAAGCTTTGTACTCTTCTACTACCCAAGATGAAGCATTGTTGGGCGACATCCCGGAAGAGTTTATGGACCCGCTGTTGTGGCAGGTTATGAAGGACCCCGTGACGCTACCGAGCGGCTACATCGTGGACAAATCCACCATCACGCAGCACTTGATGAATGATCCGTCGGACCCGTTCACGCGAGCGCCGTTGTCCATAGATCAGTTGGTCCCAAACTCGGCGCTCAAGGCTAAAATTGAAGCGTGGGTGGCAGCACAGACCAAGTAACGGCATCAATCAAAGCCAGCGTGGTGAAATGGCTCTGAATCAATTTTGTGCACGTGGTAGTTTGCGATGGCATCATGAGGGTACAAGAGATGAATTGCCTGAGCTCAACGCCCATCCGATGGTCGAAAACTGCTCGAACTCAATCTTGACAAAACGTTAGATTACTGTGGCGTCGTCCACTTGGTTGGCAGCATCACCATGATGCTCCTACGTTGTGTGTTTTCAATGTTGAGAGTGCAGCCGGGGGACTTGCGTACCTTCGTCGCGGCGACACACTGCGCAGCGACCCTTTGGGGGGGACGACCTGCGCCCCCAGCTCCGACACTCTTTGGGCATGATTGTCTAGAATCTCCTCTTCCGACGTCCCGAGACTTCGCACGGCTTTCGCCCGCAGGATTTGCTTTTTCGAGTACCCACACATGAGTTCCTCCTTCGTCAGCTTCTCGTCCGTGTTGTCAAGTACAGCCGAGTGCCGCTGCACTACAGAACACACGTCAACTTGACCCCGACGTCGTGGTACGTACGGTCGTTGTATTTCTCGAGGTCATGGTCGCACACGCCGAGTTTCTTCATCAGCTTTTCGATCCGCAGCGTCTCTTCCGACACGCCGAGCTTTGTCAAAGCCCTTTCCATGTCGTTCGGTGCAATCGACATCGACCGGACCTTTGTTGTGCCTTTTCGTGGATTTCTCGTGAAACTTTGGACTGCCGAGGTCTTTCGTGGGCTCATGGGCGACTTGTCTGCTGGCAACGGCGCGGCCGAGTCTGCGTCCCTCGTCTCGGTGATCGGCGGCAAACTGATCATCGGGTCCCTACACTTGGTTTTCCCGGCTAAGCCTCGCGCAGGATGGACCCTCGTGGTCTATTTCTGGACGACGAACGCAGAGAACCGTCTGTGTACCATATCGCCCTCGCGACATCGTTACGCGAGCGGGGCGTCGTAGCTCCAATAAAGACATTGCCATCCCTCGTCCATCGTTTTGGGTTTGTATGGCCAAGGCTGACGCGCTGTGGCACCGCGGGACGTGTGTGGATAAGCACTATGGATTCGTCATTCGGTTCGTCTACTGGGGTTCTAGCCGAATGCATCAGGTCGAGTGAGGTGTGGACAACACCGCGGTCATGTTCGGTCCGTGTGCGGCTCGAGCGCGTCGGTCCACAGATGCAAATACGACGGATGGAGGTGGGTTCCGTCCAGCGCATACGCCTCCTGCAGCTAAACCATCCAGGATGAAATGTGCCGCCACGACAACCACCCCAACGACTTACTTGGTAGGTCGGGGTCAAGAGACTGTCAAAGATGTCCATCCAGTTGCAAAACCCACTGGCGGCCACCCTCGCTTGAAACACGCGGTTGTATTGCTGGACAATGTGACGCGTTTCGTTGAGCACGGGGACGACGGGATGGATCAGCGCCTGCCATCATGGTCCATTTGGAATCCATCGCATGGTGCAGTCCGTCGCGTACATGAAAGCCATGGGTCGCTACGAGGCGCTCGAGGACGTCCATGAAGATCGAGACGGTGTGTGCGATGCCGTCGCCAAGGGTCTAGACATTCTTTAAGTTTGTATCAAGTGTGGTCAAACGAGCGTGCACCTCGTAGCGACATTTCTCGACGGCCACAAGCAGCCCTTCGCGGCAGTCGATCTCGCCAAAGATGAACACGACGGTAGCGCCGCGAGGAATTGTGTTGACCACGTTGAAAAAGTGGACTTTCGGGTAGAAGGTCGACTCGTGTCGGAGATGCCCTGGCGACACACGCGCGGGACTCAAAGTGGGAACCCTGCCATGATCAACGCTTACAATGTTTGAGGCCAGTGACCAAGGCTGGAATCAAGAGGCGCTCCGTGGAGTGCACTTTGACAGAGCGCCATGCCGTTGCCAGGGCATGGGAATCCCCACACACGTAGATGGGCTTGGCCGTGCGTGGGACGTCGGGGCAGAGCGGCGCGATGGACACCAATTGAGTTATACACGAGTAGTATGCATGTTCGTTGCGAATCGATGTGGTGTGGAGGAGGTGGCCATAGTGGAAGCGCACCGGTTCCATCACATCGAGCAAGGCTGGCAGAGGTCGCAGGCATCCTTGCAGATATAGAATCTAAGGCTGCACACGTCAGTACGAGTCGCCCAACGGTCCTTGCCTTGACAAGTGTGCAGAGCATTGCAAGCAAGTCGAGCTGCTCGCTTGTCAAGTCGACCTTGTCGGCGACCGGGCGCTGGAACTTGAAGTCGTTCTCGCGGACACAGACGTGCGTTCCTTTCCACTGGATGGAAGCATCCGCACTCAGCGGACCCCTTGCGTCGTCTAGCGTCGCAAAAGGCACCAGTACAGCGGCGACGTCGCTGCACGTAAGGGTATTGCCCACCGCGAAGGTGGAATTGCTGTCGACATAGCGCTTGATAAACAAATACGCGTCGGCGTACCGACCACACACTTCCAGCGCATGCACGTAGTTCAGACCAAACATGACGTCGCGAGGACACTGCGCCACAGCTTGCTGAAAACACTGTATGGACGCTAGATTGTCCCGCATGAGAAGAATCCGATCGATGGCGCTCCCACCGTTCATGGCGCCATGGTCTTTTGCCACCGAAGCCAAGTACGCATATGCCGGGGCAGTCGACGGTCCAGTCGGGTCAAGCGCTGCTCGGAGGTAGGCAAAGCCATTTGGCGCGTCGAGGAAAGCAGCGCAGGCCGCTTGGACTCCTATGGAAATGGTGTCAACTGGACATGGTAGTGAAGCGAGTGAAGGAGGAGCTTGAGCGCACGTTTATCTTTGGGGCGATCGACCAACACCTTCAAAATCATCTGAATAGCTTCCGACGGCTTGCCTCGATCGTGGGCAATCTCGCTGTACAATGCCATCGCATCCATGTCGGACTCATTTGATTCCTGGAGCATGCTAACGAGAATCGAAATCGCCACGTCCTGTTCTTTCCTCTGTCCACCATGGTACAAGGCGTGCGCGAGCAGGATGGTGGCGTCGTGATGAGCACTTGGCTACAGAACGACGCGTCAAGCACGTCGGGTTGACGGCACATTCACACCGATAAATTTGGGTCGGACAAGAGCTCTTGCAAAATGATCACAGCTTGGCCATACTGCTTGAGGCGCACGTCACATTTGGCCGACTGAAGACGAACTGCTGCTTTGGCCGTGGTGGTCACGAGGGGTAGCATCTTGGCAGTCCACGCCTTTGCTTTCGTCCACTGCGAGCTTTGAACGTACAGGTCAACCATCCCCTGCATCGCGACGACGTTGACCGGATCCATGTCGGCCAGCACCACCTCCCACACTGCCTGCATCATGACAACCGATGCATTTTATGAAGCGACGAAACCTACGTGCTTTGGCCGACCTCCACGCCTGGTTTTGCTTGTGCTTTGCAGCATGCGCGAGAATCAAGTCGGTTCCATCCGCTGAGGCATGTGTCGTGGTTGGTTGGCTTAAAGTTGGGACGGGTTGCGGTGTTTGGGGCTCTAATGTCAGCTCACACGAGTCCTACGTCGATGGGCGTCAACCGTACACCCGTTTATGATTCTGTCAAGGACGGTCCTACGGCTTCATCGAGGAGTGTGGAGATCTTCTTGTTCGGGTCGACGGGTTTCTTGGAATTCGTCAGTGTTACTGTGAGTGACGTCGGGCACAGACGATGCGTCACAGCAGTAAACTTTCGATTATACGCGTCTGCGAATGCCGATACTGCTTCGTGGACGTGCGTCAGCGGTGCTTTGCACACAAAAGTCCATTCGGCGTACTCGCTGGTCGGTTCGAGGTGAATATAGATCCTCATCACAACTCTCCCTGCGGCGTGGGCGCGATGAGTTTGGACGTTCCACTGCACTTGGAATGGCCGTTTCATAACCACAAAATGGAATGGACAAAGACCAGTGGAGGTGTGCATGACCTCTTCCAAGATTGTACGATCATGTGATGGGGTGTCCGATTTGAAGGACACGAAAGCCCGAGATCAACGTCACTAGCCCCGCACCGCTTTCGTCCGGTGCACAGCTCGTAACTTGCTCGATGACCACATTCCATCGGGCAAAGTAAACGACGAGAAAGGTTGACACAAAGGGACCGTTGGATACGAAGAATAAATGACATCTTCCATTAGAGAACGCTGTTACGACAGGGTACGGCAATGGAGCATTCAAGGTAAGTTGGTAGGGCACGAGTCGCGACACAAACCTGTGGATTGTGGTCACGTCGCCATGTCGTGGACCGTAGTCTATTCAGTGCTGCGCTGGGTCTTCTTCTTCAAGTTTTGGTAGAAGGCGTCGAAGGATTTCAACTCGCCATCGGCGTAGCTCTTCCACACCAAGCCCAGACCGGTACCAAGAGCAAGGGCGATTCCGAATTCAGCTTTGACGTTGGGCATGGTGATCTGGCACGAATCTGTTGGCTCTGAAAATGCGGTGCTCCCTCACCCGTCCGTTTGCGCCCTCCCTAGGTTCGATCGCACTCGAGTCGGTTTTTTACTATTTTTACATAAAAAGTGGGTCTGGTTGGATAAAGTACGAAATATCTTTAGAAATATCACTTCATATTTTTATTTACTCCTGAGTACGAAGTGTGGACTTAACGGGGGCGTGTTGTAGCAAGTTCTGCATCGTTCAAAACAACTCCCTGAAATATTTCGAGACTTTCGTGACATGTGCAATAATTGGACAAAACCATGTACCTTGTTACCTTGGAACGCAATGTACTAGTACATTGGAACATGATTAAAATGGAGTACACAGACATGAATTGAGCGAGCGAAATACTCCTCTTGACGAGATAAAATGAGCATA